CCAGTCGCTGCCATTCGGATTCCCCTACGCCAACCCTTACTTTCACACGGGTGAGAGCCTCGGACACATACACAAAACACACACACATGCACAGAGCTGGAAACTGACATGTGAAACCCATTAGCGTCACTCTCTGTGTGCGTGTCTCCAGTGTGGAGACCTCTCCCTGTTAGGGGCCCTGAATCTGACCCCACTGTGACCCGCATGCACAGCCACGTGGGCAGAGAGGAGGGAGGAGGGGGGGTTGTTTGTTCACATCACATACATGCAGTGCACACACACACACACACACACACACACACACACACACACACACACACACACACACAAGAACAGAAGATTCAAATCCAATCAGTAGACCTAAAACTATTAGTTCGCTGAGCCAAGAATCACAACATAATTTTATTCCACAACAATTCTGATTATCAATTAATAGTTTAGGTAATTTTGTAACAGAAAATAGCAAATATTGTCTGATTACATCTTCTTCATGTCTGAAGTTGCTACTTTCCTCTTCCTTTTATATCAGTGTACAATTAATATCAAGTTGGCCTGTTCAAATCAAAGTTGTTGTTGTTTTTTTTTAATTAAATCTCTCCATCACAATTTGGCTAGCTAAAGAGCTTTGCTGTTTTTCTACCATACCGCTAAAAGTATTTTTAAACACGCTTTGTACCCAGAGCGTATATTGACAAATCATTTTCATCCGCCGCTGCTTTTTTTCCAGGCTCTTTGGGAGGTCTTTTCATGGATGGCGAAGACTCAGCCACAGCAAACCCTGCGGAGGACATCAGCAAGTGGAGTGTGGAGGATGTGTGTGGCTTTATAAGCAGCCTGGCTGGATGTGCTGAATACACACAGGTGAGAACATAGAGAGAGACAGAGGGGGGGGAAGTGAGAGAGAGAGAAGGGGATGGAGGCCAGGGGCAGGCTGACGACTAACCATAGAGGAAATACAGATAAAATGCGAAACTGCTGTAGTGTTTTTCCAAGGGCGTCTCATTATGTTTAGGTAGAAACACTAAACCTGCAGTTTTTTCAGAGTTTACTGTGAATGCGTGTGGCTGCATGAACGGTCACTACTTCAGCCATATTTGTGGGCTTTCGTGTGAATGAGGCCGAGCTAGCAGTGCATGCGTGTAGCTTGCGTGAATGAAATGTTCTTGTGCGTACCGCCGAATGTCGTTCCAAAATGAGCTACCCAGTTTTAGAGAAACATCAATCCATGTTCTTTTAAAAAATTAGCAAAGTGTTCAGTTTCCAATATTATAGAGTCTGAACACCACGCTCACATGATGAGATAGCTGTGATTTCCTTCTGACGTGACGCCAGTGGAAGAGACAGGAGACAAACTGTTCCATGTAAAGTTCAGCTGACTCTAATAAATGTAAAAATCTGTTAGTATGAAATTCCCTCTTATTAGCTTCAGATGAACTTTATAAATCACATTTGCATGGAACGAATTTGTCCCTCTCATGTTACACTGGAGTCACGCTGGGAGCAGATTTCTATATGTCCAGACAAGAGAAATGATTAATGGATGGTTACACGTCCAATGCACACACTTTCCCCACGACCAGATCATCCAGATTGCAAACACGTCGGGTGACAATCTTCAGTTTTTCTCTCAAAGTGGGTATGTAACATTTTGGAATAGAACCCCTGTTGTGTAGCTTGTGTGTGTGAGTGTGTGTGTGTGTGTGTGGATGTGATGATTTGTGCGTTGGACGTTTCTGTGTTTGTGCGCATGTCCGGGGCTGTGGCTGAAGCGGCTGTGTCTCTGCCAGGTGTTTCGGGAGCAGGCCATTGATGGAGAGACATTGCCGCTGCTCACTGAGGAGCACCTGCTCACCACCATGGGACTAAAGCTGGGGCCTGCGCTCAAGATCCGCTCACAGGTACACACACCACAGTCCTGCGAGTGTGTGCTTTGTGTATGACTGCGTGCAGCTGTGTGTGTGTGTCCGAATGTGCGTTTCCGTCTGTAGGACCGAGACAAACTGCTAGCATAGCATAGCTGATTCCCATAAACTAGCCTGCCCCACCAGACCTGCAGCCTCTCCTCTTCTCTCTCTAAAACACACATTAGTCCACCGCACCAAGCTCGACAGGCTGAACTGACAGTCATGTGATCTCCTCTCCGTCTCCTCAGGTGGCGCGTCGCGTCGGCAGGCTTTTCTACATGACAGGATTCCCACTGGCGTTCCCGTTCCCACCTTCTGCAGCCTTGCGCCCCCCAGATCGCGATCGGGACACCCTGACCACGCCATCCGACACCCCGCTGCCCCTCTCGCTGTCCCTGCCACACCGACCTACCTCCACCAGCAGCAGCTCCTCTCCATACAGCGGACCCACCCCAGGGTGCTCCTCCCCGAAGCAAGAAAACGGCAACAGCTCCGCCGTGGTGGGAAGATACGAGGCCAAAACTCCCTCGTAGGAGCGGACAGGCAGGAAGGGAAGACCTGTCTCATGCATTGGGGATGAGGGGGGTAACTTGAATCAGACTGACTCCCAGGCCCTATTTATCAGACTCCCCTCACCTTGGGACATTAAAGCTGAAATTTATGGGAAAATATTAGCCTGGAATAAAAGACAACTGGACGTTATGGACCGTATCCGGCAAACCAATCAGCTGAGTTCCTCTGCAGTGGCTGTAGCCGAGCAGAATCCAAAGAAACTGGGTTGGAAGGGAGAAACGTGAAGCGACAGAGGAACAGAGAAAGAGAAAAAGGAGGAAAAGGAGACAGCTGGTCACAGACAGCCTGCCAAAAAAAAGGAGCAAAGCCCTGCCACAAATGCGACATTCTTGCAAGTCAGACAGTCAGACGCTAGCGGAAACTCTTCCTTCCTTCCTGGGCTGGAGGAAGCTCTGCTCACTCACTTTGTTTCTCTTGTCTCTATCTCTCTGACTGCTCTCACCACAAGCCCTGCAGAGCCCAGGAATTAAAAAGAGACGCCTCTCCCCTTTTTTCTTCCTCCCTCCCTCCTTCTCGCCTGTTTCCCGAGGCCAAACAGCAGCGTGGCGTTGTCTTTTTAGCGGCTGGAGTTGAAACATATGCTGAGCAGCACTAGATCTGACCAGCTCCCTCTTATCACTGCAACTATGCATTCCACTGTCCCGATACCAAAGATGACCGGATGTGTGGAATTGGAATTCACAATGTGTCTGCTTCTTTTTGCATTAATGGTCTCAGAGAAAGACTGGTTCAACAGGGGAATGCTAGGCTAGTGCCTCACATGATGGACTCTATTTGAGGTGACACAGGTAGAGCTGTCATTTACTGACATACAAAGGCTTAAATGTTGCTGAAATGCAGAAGCCTCAATGGCGGCTATGGTGTGTATGGCCTATGTCATTGTACGTTTGTGTTGACTACTGTGGGAGGTAGGAAAAACATGCAAAATTGTACAGAATCATGCTTAAGATGAAAATATCCTGAAGGTTACATACGTGGTACTTTTACTTTTTGTTAAATGTAGTTGCACGAATAAGGTTTTCTTTACTGAAAAATGTGACTTGCTGAACTTTGGTGGTACTTTTGTTCATAATTTTTGTTCTGCCATTTTTAAGAAAAAAAAAAAAAAGTGTAATATTAAAAAAGATGCTCCAATCTCGAATGCTACTTCAGCATATAAATATGAGGACAAAAATATTTATAGGACTTTTGATGTAGTAGATAAAGCAGATTATGATATGTATTAAAATTAGCCCTTAAGATGGATTCCAAAGATACTTTTGTTTTCTCTTGGTTGCAGGGAAAAGAAAGGCACAAAGCTCTTAATGCAAATGTTTCAAATTTGTTATGGATTTTTTTTTTTTTTTTTTTTAAACTACGCAAGCAATGAATTAAAAAAATGGTCTCTAGATTTCCCTTCAGAAGTTTTGTCTTCATCCTATTTTTCTATTCACCACACAGGTGAAATAAATCCTAAAGAAACCGCTCGGCTTTCTCTTTTTCTCTTGTGTTTGTGTGCTTGCATCAGACAAATGTACAAATGCCTTTTCCTCCTCAGGTGTTTGTGGTTCTTCTGTAGAAACGTGCAGGAGGGTGTATGTGGTCTCCCGGTGTGTGTGCGTGAGGGGGAGGTGACCCATGGGGGGCACAGTTCAGGTCAACACCAGCTGTCAGAGTGTGAGGTTCAGCCGCAGGCCAAGGCCTCCCTGCCTGTGGGGGTAAACCTGACCCTCCTCATGTACCCACACACATACAGGAACAGAACCAGGAGCAGCCCTCACTCACGCTTACTTTCCTCCTTCAAAGCACTACGCTCTGCACACTCTGCTGGGACTTCCCCTCGCTTTAGGCGGGCTTCTGCACCAGAAACTTCTGAATTCACTGAAAACTACTACAGAGGAAATGGGATGACACAGAAGTGCTTCTCAAATCAGCTCTCCATTTGTGGCGTTTACAATCGCGTTAAATAACTCCATTGTCTTGCGTTGGTGCACCCGTGGATGCATGAAATCACTGTTCACCCAACAAAAAGCCAGAATCACCTCCAGTTTAGAGCTGATTTTTTTGGAAAACGGTGCAGTGAAGTAAAGAAAGAAAAGGGGGAGAAGTTGGAGTAGGAAAGCCGTATATGAGCATGTGAATACACAGGCGGAGAAGACAGTGGACTGGGCAGGGGGTGGGTGAGGAGTTGGCACAGAAACAGACCAGCCTGTGTTGCTGCTCTACCACCTGGGCAGAGAGTCTTGGCACAGCATCAGACGCCACCTTGCCAGCCTGGCACAGCACTGCTGCCTCGGGGCTCAACACCCGCCTCTCTGTGCCCCCCTCCTCTTGGCCGGCCCAGCCTGGCTCGGCCCAGCTCAGCCAGGCTCATAACTCCCTCCAAATAGCCCGTTCTTACAAAGCCTGAGGGTGCCTACAGGTGTGCACAAGCACAGAGGACACAAATGACTTGTTTCAGGTGTAATTGTCCATTAGCATGCACATATACGCTTCAGCTAATTAGCATCTTAAAAAGAAATGATCAAGAACGGACAACTTGGATTCTTGAACTGCGCTTTTTTTGTATTTTTACACTTTTTGGTGCTTAATAAAATTACATCATGAACTTATTTGTACTGTACATGTGAAGCAATACAAAATTCAAAAGCAAAGAAAATAGCATGGAGTCCAAAAATACTGTAAGTATAGATGGTTACGGTGGAGAGCAGTAAACATCCATGAATCTTAGTCATCATCAGACAGCTCCAGGTCTTCAACCACATCCTCGTCTCCCTCTGCCAGCTTTATCAGAGCAGAGGAGGACAGCGGCTGAGGAGTCTTGGAGGCCTTTTCATCTCCTTCCTCCTCCTCATCGTCATCATCGCCGTCGTCATCGTCATCTGGAATACAGACAGGAATCATGGTAACTTCAGCCACATGAAAACATCCCAGACCTGGCAGATATCAGGGGGTATAACATATTTGATAATGTATGCGGATACATAATGAGATTTTATGAACTGAACTGTAACTATGAAGACATACTTTATAATATTACAGTTGTGCTTTACTACGTTGCCATTTATTATTTGTTCAAACATCAGCCTCAACTCATGGGCGGCCAAAGAAAGAGTTAAATTTGTGGTAAATACCTTGTTGAATTTAAATCTTCTCAAAACTACATGACAAGTTCAGAAACCATTCATCACAAGAAAGGGGGTTTACCAAATTTATTCCCTTTAATAAATATCATTAGGTCATCGCTTTGGCTTTTAGGCTGCCCCCAAATTGATATATTTCAGGTTCAGTTAGTTAAACAGATGTCTTTTTTCTGTTGGTTTTTTATTTGACATCCCTTAAATTGATTTAACAGAACGGTAGATGTTCCTGTTCTCTTAAACTGCACAGAATGTGTTCATTCCTGAATTAAATAATTAAAAGAATACTAATCATTTTAGAGCACAGTTTACTCTTACTTTACCACTGCTTACTTTTGATGCAAATGTTTAGGGCTGCAACAAATAATTTCAATTACTGATTCATCTGCCTGTAATTTTTTCAGTGTAATCCATAAAATATATATATATTTTTAAAAAGAACAAGAAATGTGTCTCACAGTTTCCCAGATTAAAATGTGACATCTTTAAATTGCCTGCTTTTCCCGATCAAAAGCCCCAAACTCAAACATATTTAGTTTAATTGAGAAGATAAAAACCAAAAAAAAAAAGAAATTTCTCTGATTGGAGAAGCTACAATCTGCCTCATGTTTGAAATATTACAAAAACAATTCATCATTTATTAAAACACGCAAATGAATTTTCTGTCAATTGATAAACTAATGATTAATGATCTCATCTAGCAGCTCTACACATGTTTTACCTTTATTACCATCCAACATACTAAGTCTGTACATGCAGAGATAACATGAGTGAGTACACCCCAGTGCAACATCAACTAAATGTCATGTGATTCAAAACGGTATGATAAATGTATTATAATATATAACATATATAACAACTTAAGTTGACAAGCAGAGTATCTGTGCCAATGAACACTCAGAAACAAATACTTAAGAGAGACGATACTGTAAGCACGGGCCGCCAAGTAGAAACTCAACATACACCTGTGATCACTGACAAACAAGTTAGAAAACCTGTGATCATTAAAATCAAACTTGGTGTACTCACAATTTCAAACTAACCTAACTGCATAAACACTGATCTAAAATCCCCTCTGAACTTTATCAGTTTTAGTCCTGTGATCTGTGTCTATCTGCATCATGGCTCCACATGGAAACTAATTCCCAGATAAACTGAAAAATCTGACTGTGAGACTTCACAAAGATGGAATAGGCTACAGGAACATCTGTGACCAAGTAAAAATGAAAGTCAAAAAGCTGAAACACAGTTGCACCATTAATCAGGAGGTTCAGAATAAACCATAGTACCACTAATCAGAGCTGCTGCGTCAATCTGTCGATCTCCTAAAATGATGCCACAGTGTGCTACTTTCATAATCTGCCCCCAAAAAACAGATGGGCAGCTGCTTCCGACTTGGCACAGGGTTATAAATGAGAACTGGAGTTCCTGTGACAGTTCAGACAGTGTGAAATACATTGAATGATATCAGCGTCTATGGATGGTGCCCAGGAAGAAAACCCCTGTTTGCTCTTTGGCATAAAACTAAAAGATGAAACTTTGCTAAAGAACAAGAAACGAAGCCTGATGACTGTTGGGTGCATTTTTCCAGCTCAGATGGGACCCAGTATGTTTGGCCTAAACCCGGCCAGGACAACAACAATGAATGCACAGTCCTGACAGTGAACTACGGCTGTGATGGTGTGCTTACATGCATGTGTGCAGAAAGGGTTGTAGAGTTGACACAAATGGATGGCACCATTAATATCTGTGGATTTGCCAAAATACAGGCTCACAAGATGAATCTCCGTCTAAGAATATTCCTGCATGATAACGATCCAAAGCACACTGCCAAAATCAGGCGAGTTGCTTAAGAAGAGTAAAATAAAAACTATGACCCGGCCAAGTATGTTGACTGACTTGAATCCAACAGAACACCTTCCAGGCAATTTAAAGGGAAAGGCAGAGCAACACAACCCCTCCAGCAAAGAGCCGCTTAAAAAAAAGGTTTCTGAAGAATGGCAGAACATCTGTTCTGAAATTTGTGCCACACTGGTATCATCCATACTGAGGAGGATCGACTGTCATTGAAAATAAAGATGGCCACATGGAGGATTGAAAAAATACCATATCTGGGTCTCAGTAAAGAAAGATGTACTAACAGTTGTATTAAATCCCTACTGTGGTCCCCGTATTAATATGTTGTTTGTAATTTTACTCATGACAAGTAATACTGCACTGGTATTGACTCACTTTTATTGCCCAAATAGCTACTAGAGTCGTTTCTGTACACTAAATAAATAAAAACTTTAAAATGTCTAAAAACTACCAAATTGTGAGAAACTGCTACGTTTCGGTTCGGACACCGATGCTGTACCAACCTGACTCTCCTCCCTCCATCCCCTCGTCATCGCTTAGGTCAGACAGATCTTCCAAATCATCCTCATCACCATCTGACGCACGGCTGCTCTTCTTACCTGAGAGGAGACAGAGAAAAACATTACACCGCGCCGCTGAATTTTGTCAAGCGTTACTTTCTTCAGTCATTCCTAAGTTTGCACTGGTGCATCGCTGACGTCTGAGGACTTTGGAGACGCGGATATGTGGGCCAGGTATCAGAGGCAGCTGGAAGTGTCTATTTCCTCCTGAGATGGAACTGAGAGTCGATTACAGGCGCCGCTGCTGCTGCACAAACACCCATGACAGTTTACTACCGGCAATTTCAGACATCTTATGCTCACGGCCTAAATATAGCAAATGGAGATAGCAGGCAGGTTCCACAGCTACGATGATGATGGCAGAGTCAGTGTGTGTGTGTGTGTGTGCCGGAGAGAAGTTAGGAGTTTGTCTGAAATTGTGGTGCGCTATCGTCAAAGTAGTGTGTGTGTGTGTGTGTGTGTGTGTGTGTGTGTGTGTGTGTGTTGTCTAGCCAAAGGGACAACTGGGGTCCACGGGCTTTGAAGTTGAGGTGTGATGAGAGGCTGGGGGCGTGGAGGAGAGAGAAGCAAAACAGAGCTACTTCCTCTGTGTGCTACATTGCAAACACACACAGTTATACAGTAAGCGTCTGTACACACACACATACACACACACACACACACACACACACACACACACAGATAAACAACATCTATTCAAACATCAGGTTCTTCCCTTCCCTCCTGGATTTAAGATGAAATACGTGCTCTGGCCCTCTCCCACTCGTCGCCGCTCACATGGTGCGAGCAGATTTCGGCAGTACCTTCGAGGTTGCCCCTAAATGACCTGGATGACTTATTGCCACCACACACTGACAGCACACGCACACACACGCATCAATCTAAATCATCGGCCCCCTCCTCTCAAAACTCCCCCTCTTTCCGGGAGTGTGTGAGACCACAAAGAGCTTTGGTGAGCTGCCCAAAAGCGTTTGGCTCTGCAAGACTGGACGACGAGGTGGTGGCTGCGCATTTGTGTGCTATCATGGAGATGTGCATGTGTGTGCGCGCACGTGTTGCGAGGACATGCGGGGGCAGCTGGTTGAAGTCTACAGAGCCAGAAAAGAAAGAGCGAGAGAGGTAGAATGAAAGAGGGAGAGGGAGAGAGAGAGAGAGGGAAAAAAAAGGGAGAGAGGAGTGGGAGCGGCCACCTCTGGCTGTTCCAGTGGGCTGGTTTGAATTAGGAACCCCCGCTGGGATCCAAGCCTGTACTTCCTGTTGGGGGGTTTCGGTTCGTGTGTGTGTGCACGAGGGGTGGAAAGGGTGGAGGAAAGCCGAACGAAAGAGGAGGAGGAGGAGGAGGGTGGGGGGCGCTTGCCGGCAGCTGCCCATCCGTTTGTGGGGACTCTCCCTACAATGAAGTCCAGATGCATTAAAAAAAAAATCCCCCTGCCGCCTACTCCTTTTCTCTGCGACCTTGCGGAGGGCTTTTTTCTGCTTGGAGCGTGTCCGAGTGTAAAGCTGTAAAAGCGAGGTTGCAGCTGCCTGTGACCTGCGGATGACCCCGAGACGACGAAGCTTGCGGGGGTTAAAGGATGAACAAGCCGACGGCTTGCTCTTGGCGGAGAGCGAACCAAACTATCTGATAAGCAGAGATTTGATTTGGGATTTAATTTTCATTTCCACAGAAACAGCGTCTGCGCGTGTTTTAATATCTCAGGCCCCGCGGTAACCACGCTGCAGGTGATCTGCTTCATGTAGCCGAATCTTTAAAGATAGTGAGTGTCACACAAACAGATAACAGCAGAGAAATCAGACTGAACTGTCATCACCTCTTAACTTTGCTTTTGCACTGTTGCAACAAAATACAGCCCCCTAGAGGCCAAGACGGGGAGATTATCACACCGTGCTGCAGCACTGGTCCACAAATTGCCTTCTTTGCAGGTCAGTTTCAAAGTCTGAGGGAAAATTGTATGTGAGAAGTAGCTTGCCTTTGATTTTGATTCCTGCATCATCTCCGTCTGAGTCGCTGTCAGACTGGAACAGATCCTTGAACTCCTTCTTGTCCTCTGCCTTCTTCTCTTGAATCTTCTTGCGTTTGATCTCAGGGAGGTCCAGATCCTCCATCTTAACAAAACACAAAATTGGCAGGGTTAGTGCACAAGCTTGCTTTGATGGCCTTGGTGATCCTCATAAAGTAATTGTTCTGCCAGTAAAATGTTCCACTATACAGCATGACTGTTTCATGATTTATGTAAAAGAGCAATTCTTGTGGGTAACACTGACATTCATAAAGGAAAACAGCAGAAGCGATTCATGATGATTGAGTGGGATGAGACAAACGTTGAAAGTTTTTTATTTTTTGTTTGGATAATTACCCTTTCTTTGCCAGAGATCTCCAGCTGGATCTCCTTCTCCCTCAGCTTCTTCCACTGGCTGTAGTACCTGCTGAGGGGAGTCCCCTCCTCCTGGATCTGCTTCTCCCAGGCCGCCTGAAAGAAAGTGACCCCAATATTTGATGCTGAATGTATATACAGGTGTGGACAGGACAGGTGAGGAACAAAAAGCAGGTCTGTGCCTGTTTTGGGGTTTTTTCAGAATCTGATAAGACAAGTCTTTCTACAGCTTCACTCAGGCTTGAAAATCATCTTATTTTATGTGGCTTTCAACTGCAGCTTCACATCAACTGACCAGAGACAGACAGACAGTCGAGACAGTGAAGGGAGTCAGAGGATGCAGAAAACAAACAGGCTGAAGAAGTCTGAAAGGGGAGATCTTCTCCAGGCCCTAAAGGTCTTTGTGGATGATATTGATTAGGCCCAATCACATTATCTGACCAACAAATCCAATAGAGCGAACAGACCGTGGCCTCCTGCGCCCGTTAGCTTAACACATTTACCACAATTTGCTGTGCAGCTATTAAGATGGGTGACATGTATGCGCAAAGGAAGAGACAGAATAAGAAAAAGAAAAAGAAAAAGCTGCTTCCAGATTAGTCTCAGACAAACAAAACTAAATATTTCTATGTACGAATGAAAGAGAGACAAGCAACGCCGGAGTGCGACCTGGATGGACGCAGGGCATCATTAATTAGGCTAGCTCTCGGTTTGGGTGACATGTCAGTGGGGGGCTGGTGGCCGGAGGGGGGCCGTGGCCTTTCCACAGCGGCAGCAGCAGGGCCGTCCCTTCTCCTTCGCCTGCGGTGACACCTCCGCTGCTGCCACGATGCCAGGGAGTCGATGCCATGGTGACAGCCTCCGCTGAGCAGAGAGCTGTGGCGACAGGCGCTGGCACGGAGCCACGCTGTCTGTCTGCTGCACTCACTGAACACACAGACTTCCATGTACACACACACACACACACACACACACACAGACACACACACACTACCTCATCAGCTAAATTACACAAAGACCGTCCTCTTTAATTTCATCCTTAAATGCTCTTAAATATTCATCAGCGGTACGCATCAAGACTCAGCGGAAGCAAAACCACATAAAAACGTGTGTGTGGACAGGTAGCACTACAAGAGCAAATCAACACAGACAAGAGAATCTCTCTGTCACACACTAATGGCTGCTCATTAGGGTAGCGGCGCCTCTGGTTCAAAAGCACATAAGAGCTTCGAATAACCACAGGGTCAGTCTTAGCCGGGCTTAGAGTTTATACAGGGAAGTATCCTCCATTAACAGTTCCTGCCTGTAGCGGTTCACGCTCTGCAGTCCGATGGCCTGCAGCACCGACCTTTACTGGACCAGAGCCCAAAAGGAAAGTTTTAGGTCTTAGTATTTGTCATTCAGTAGAAAGCTATCTTTGCCCTGCAACTGAAACTCTCTGCTCTGTGGGGCTTCTCTAGAAGGTTCAGGCAAGACGCCACCTCTGAAATAGTGATGACCAAAGACTAATCTAAATAATAGCAACAACAACTTCACGTTCACTTGCAGAGTGCAGCCCTCCACCAAGGCCAAGGTCCTGACTTGCAATTTTAAATAAAGTGATCTAGATCTACACCAGAATTAAAATGGCTCTGTCTTTGACTTTCCACCAACTTTCATCAACTTGGTAGTTTTTGCACATTCTTGCAGACAAACAGCACAGAGAAACACATTACTGTTTTAATAGAAGGACTTATGAAACATGTGACATGCGGCTGTAGAATTAACCGCTTTAGTCCACCAAAAACATTTATAAACTCGTACCGACCATTCAAGTCAAGTGGATGGAGTCAGCTGATTGTTAAGCACTAATTATTGTAAACACTGAACATAGCCATCAAAACTTGCACCATCTAACCAAAAGATGACAACTAACTACTCCTTATTAGGTCTGATCTATGTATTAGCTAAAGGAAATGTTACACAGACTTCCAAACCTAATTCATTTCCAATCTGACTTTTTGTCTGCTACTGCTGAACACTTAAATCATTCATGTTACATCAGTTTTGAGGTCTCATCTCTACAGAAAAAGCAGCGAATCAATACGTTCTATATTAAGTGTCGGCTTTACTCAAAGACTAAAAACTCCAAATCAAATCGTTTAAAGTCATAATAAAATGATAAAATAACACTGAAGTGAGCAAATGAGTGGCACGAATCTAGGCATGAAAGCCGTGGTAATATTTCAACCTAATGTTGGCTTCTGACGTGTATAATTGTATTGGCGCTCCTTCTGAACAGCATGCGGCCTCTTCAGAGAGGCACCTACCGATAATATACCAGGTTGCCCGAAGCCCTATAAATGTGCAAAATAGGTAGAATCCAGGTCGCATTAAAGTCAACTAATAAGGCGCCTTGCAGCAAATTAAAATGACATGATTAGTCTCTGTGTAATAAAACTATTGCTTTCAATGGAAAGAAACAGCAATAAAACTGATAATGTCAAACGTGACAATGGTAAATCATGAAACATGGTTACGCGAACCAATAATTATTACTCAGCAGGGCTGTAATTTATTCTAACTAATGCTGGAATTGTACTGCATTATGGCCTGCTAGATATTAAATCTTGAGCCAACAATACAAAATTGACTTCCATAATCACAAAACGGTTAAATCCATACAGGTTTTATGAGTCACTTCAAATACGTGCCTCTGCATCGTTCAATAACAACATCTTATTTCTGTTCATCCATAAGTGATTGAGCCGTATCTGTATGTTGGTGGTTACCTTACTGTTGACATAACCTGGACTGCCGGTCATGTGATGGTGTGAAGTTTTTACCAATAACCTCAAAATTTCAAACCTATTTGGTGTTATTTTTTACATGTTGACATGTTTTCCATTATCTCAGGCTCATCTGTATACAGAAGCAAACAGGCAACAAAAAGCAGCCTGGGAGTTTGTGGTCAAGCGGGCCCAATTTCCATCCATCCATCATCTATACACCGCTTAATCCTCATTAGGGTCACAAGGGGGCTGGATCCCAGCTGACTCAGGGTGAAGGCAGGGGACACCCTGGACAGGTCACCAGTCTATCACAGGGCTACACTTAGAGACAGACAACCAAGCACACTCACATTCACACCTACAGACAATTTAGAATCACCAATTAACCTCAACATGTTATTGGACTGTGTGGGAGGAAGCCGGAGAACCCGGAGAGAACCCACGCTGCACGGGGAGAACATGTAAACTCCACGTAGAAAGATCCCGGTGTGAACCCGCGACCTTCTAGCTGCGGGGCAACAGTGCTACCAACTGTGCCACCTTGCAGCCTGGGCCCAATTTGATACACCAAAATTTTTTTAAAACGTGCGCTGATCAACAAATCCTTAATTCAAATAAAATACAATGTGAATTTGGATTCCTTGTGATAGACCAAAACATAAAATGAAACTAATTTTCAATGGTTTTCCTCCCGATGTTTGTGTCCAGAAAGCAGAAATTTTAAGTTGAATTAATGAAATCACCTGATGAGTAATTTCACTTAATAGCCTGCTTCTATCATCAGAAATATTTACAACATTGCCTTTCATGTCACCACTAGTAATCCAGCACTAAATACCCTAACGTCCAACCTGATCAAATCCACATCCATCTGACTGCAGAGAATTTAACGGATCGTTTATATTGCTGGGCTGGCTCTTAAGTATCATACGCCAAATAGACTGTGATGCGAAAAAGAATCAATGGGTAGTCGAGAAGAAAATTTTGTGTTTCACCCACTTACAGTCAACGTTAATGAGAATTAGTGAGAACACTCTGAAAAACGTAAACGTTTTGAAATATTTGTGCACCGAGTCTGACAGTCGGCTGCCTTTAACAGTGTTCAAATCTGTAGCAAGTACAACACTAACAGAAACCTTTAGTGAGTTTGTATAGCGGTTTCACAGCACAGAGCTCATAAGCACCACAACTCACTCCTCTATGAGGTTTCTGCCTCTTGACTGCTGTCCTCATCATCACCTCTAAACAGCGTAAATATATGTGTTATATCTCAGCACATCCTGTAGCATTAGCCAGCAAAGACTTTTTCTTTGTTGCCTTCTCTGCATCGCTGGTACAGAGTTTTCTCTTTTGATCAACGTTTCAGCAACAAATGTTTTAAAAGTGCTAGATAATAACTTCCAGAGTGCTTAGCACTCGGGGTGGGCGATGTGGAAAAAACATAATTTTATTATAAAATCACGATTTCGATTTTATCGCGATCTTACATGTATTTTTGAGACTAAGTGCGGCTGGACCACAGATCACTCGTTGTTGCGAAAAACTGGATGTTCTGAACTTTGCATTCAATCTTTTCTCGGCGTTCAGAGTACAGACGTGGAATGGCAGTGTTGGAGAAGTATTTTTGGCTGAGCAGCTCGTACTGCAAGTCAATTGCTTTGAGCAGGCATTTGACGCGCACGCAGGCTCCGACGGGCTGGAAGTGGGCGGGACGCACAGGCAGCATTTGGCTACCGCAGCGGCAGTTGGGGGGGAGCAGCGGCAGATATTTGGAGATCAACTCCCCCGTTTGGCTTTCAGCCATGGCTCTCCATGCAACTACCGCTACACACAAACAAGGAGGCAGGTAAGAAATTGTGTCACTGCCCATAATTCGCTATGATTGGTTGGTCAGGTTGACGACGTAATACATCTGGTGCGTCGCCGCATCAGCATAGAATTGCAATTTATAGAATGTGACCTACATGATCCATATGATCTCCTCACTTTGGCAGATCGTCTACATGTTTTAATCGTTTACAATCTAAGATCGTCTTATCGCGCACCCCTACTTAATACTTTTTAGATGTGACTGCTATTACAGATGTCACCAGCTGTGTCACTGCAGCTAAGATCCATCCATCCATTATCTGTCCATCCATCCATCCATTATCTATACACCACTTAATCCTCACGAGGAGTCTATCCCAGCTGACTTAGGGCGAAGGCAGTGGACACCCTGGACAGCTCGCCAGTCTATCACAGGGCTACACTTTGCAGCTAAGATGACCTACTGAATATCTGTATATGGGCATAAAAGCTACTAACTAATTTTAAAAAAGCCTGCCCCACTGGGAAAATTTTCAAACTTTCCGATGTATTTTGCGTCTGACGTACAATTTTGTGTTTTGATGGAAGAGCACCTCCCTGCTGTTACAACTAATTTTCTAACTTAACATTAGGAAACAGAAGAGCCAAAGAAAAAGAAAGACACACGTACAGTAAGGGTAAAATTCTGAAAATGCAGCCTACAAGGCAGCCTCTGTCTTTCACACACACACACACACACACACACACACACACACACACACACACACACACACACACACAGACACTCACCACAGCGGCGGCATCAGCCACTCCGAAGGCGGCCTTCTGTCTCCGTCCTGTGATGTAGCTGCTGTTCTCCTGTACCTTCTCCAACAGCTGGCGCACCGGCTTGGAGTAATTGGCCACTTTGCATTCCTTCAGGAATGCTTTCAGCTGCAGGAACATGGAGGGGTGGGGGCATGAGAAAAGAAGGAAACAGCAAAAAGGATGATCCTGTCCGCCCATGTGATGCATTCAGGCAGAGCAGGAGGGGGTTTGTGGTCGTTTCCCCTGAGGGAAGCGGATTTAGCGACATCCACACTAGAACGTTTTCATTTTAGATGTAATTTTGCTATGTTTATGCCTAGAATCCACTCTAACCAGGCGACTGAGGACCCTTAAACAGAGACTTCTGGAAACACTGCTGACCACATTTAAGGTGGAAATTGCATTTTAGTCTGGACAGACAGAAACTGTGACTTTTGGAAATGATGACGCAAACACCCACATTCTCTTCCTGATTGGATTGTATTAGTCTAACTGTCCTTCCGTGATTGACCACATCCCTATTACACAACCACGACTCTCAGTCTGTTCCCTCTTGTCGTCAGTCCAAGCAAAGAAATTTCTGGTCTTACTTATTGCCATCAGTGTTTTCCTTCAAGAGTATTTTCTATGTTCTGTTTATGTAAATGGTTGTGTGACATGCATAATCAGGTGTGTTGGTATGGACAGAATGTATTTCAGACATAAAGCGCCCATCTAGATGAAGATCGCTTTTACATTCAAATGGTGTTTTAAAACAAAAATGTACTCATGCGAACATAATCTGAGTCTAGCAAATCCTGAATCATCTGTTCAGGATTTAAACTCTGGGATTGAGTGTCACTGATTCTTTATTTTACCTCTGCACCAGTCAGTCAATTTAATTCCAACAATTGCGTTTATCCTGTAAAATTTTAGCGATACGATGAAGCTCAAGTAATTTAATTTCTACAGGTCTAAAACACTTGAGTCCATTCCCAGATCAGCTTAATGGTTGCATTACCTGAATAATGGTGGGCAGAGCGAGTTCAGGGAAGCCGATGGAGTTGGCCTGAGTGTGGAAGTATTCGAGTATCAGGTCATACAGCTGGTCGATCAATCCGTCCTAAAATGCGGCAGAACAGCAAGATTTACAAACAACGTTCACACATTACACTGATGTCTAAAAGCCAGGTTATCGTTTTCCTTTTTGCTGAATTAAGAGACCAGTGCACATCAAGGACAACAACTGCAGCAACATCTAGCTTGGTAACAGCTTAGGAGAGCCTGCTACAGACATCTGAATCTCTGCTAGGGATTAATATATTATCAGCTATTTTAATTCATGTATGATTTCGGTCCATGCGTCAGATTTGGGGAAAAAATGTACAATTAACAGCCACAGCAAAGTCTGCATACACCGATAATGGCATTTCTGGGACGGACACATTACTTGCTACTTATGGTCAAAAACAAAATAAAATAACTCTTGGTCCCAAACACTTGTGTTAAATGATGTCAAACTAAATGAATGAAGAGAAACAAAAAGGGAAATTCAGTGTGATTACTAGACTAAGGTTAGTCTCGCTAAACAGGTGATTCATAGACGACAAAGTCAAACTCAGGCCTGGTAAACATTCTACACCCAAAACCTCACTTTTCTTTAATTCCCTCCACGGTATAATATCTATCAACAAACATTAAAAGAACACTGTGGTGCCAACTAAGGATGTATTTATACAGCCAAAACACATAGTACAAGTACCACAACTTGGCAGTATATAACAGTAATTGGCAGTATTAGAACGGTGCAATTTAACCCTTAATATAAATGTAATTAAAAAAAAACAAAAACCCATTGGCCAGAAGAAGTGAACGTGCCATGTACAGTGCTAGGAATTCAGCTGCCTCTCTTCGTCAGTACAAATGCAAACTTTTCTAGCCTCTGTGAACTAATAAGTGTTCAGGTTTCAGGCAGATCAGTCGGTTGGGCCTGCAGAGACTTTACGAGGCAGGGGATCATGGCAGCTGCCCAGGTGACAGCAGTGAAAACAGTCCTAGCGAGCGGAGTGCGGGGGATAATCCCAGAGAGCCGTGCTACAATCCTCTTGGCTGCAGCACTGAGCGTGGCGACTCAGGGCCAGTTTTAGAGTCCCGACAAGGGGCTTTCAGCGCTGCCCTCAATCCCCTTATGCACACACGCCAGCTAACGCACAGTGTCACAGGGCGCCATGAAAATAACTAAGACTTGAACCACTCATCTGATCAGCTGCTCCTTCTCAGTGCAATAAAGACACAAACAGCAGTACACACCATGTGCTCTTTTCCCAGCTCGAAAGGAAATCATCTACACCTACACCAATGTTCACGGTGAAACGTACCTTGTAAGCTTTCTCCATAAGGTTGACCTTGTTGAGCTTCAGGATGACCGCAAAGTTGATGGGTTTCTTGCTCATCCGTCCAGGTTTCTTGTTGAAGTCCACCTGCTGGAAGATCTGTAAAAGAGAGGCATAAAATGGCAACGCTGAACTCTGATCCTATTGGTGCAACAGTGCAATATTATTCAAAACACCAGAACGGTAGATGGAGCAGAACTCAAAGCAAGTTAAAATGGTTATTTATTAATAATATATCAACAATATTTTATATCTTATTAAATTTTTTTATTTTTTTGGTTTGCATTTAACCCTCTGAACCCCAAAGCGATGCCTGAGGGATTTTTGCTCCCGTCACTTTTTTTCTCAATGTGGGCTAATATTTTAACTGCTATATGAACTCGTGCACTTCTATGGAAGCAGCACAACCTTCGCTAAAAGTAGAGGGAACTCAAAAACGCCTCATGTTCAATATAATGAAGCTAGAATGCCATATATCAATTAAAAAAGAAAAAAAAAAAAGTTGAATTTCTTTGATTATTCATTCTACAAAAATTTAAAACATCATGTGCAAGTGTTACAACTACAGAAAAAAAAGGGGACTCTACATACTATAGATATTTCACAACTTAGATTTTTAATTAATTCCCATGCTTGTCTCCTATCTGCTCTACGTAAACACAGCCTGCAGTTCAGCCTAAAAGTGAAGTTAAAAGTCTCTAAATTGTTGTTACATGACTGTTAGTGACAGCTGAGTTAGTCATGGCTTCACATTTGTGCTGAAAAACACTGAATTTAAGACTGATTGATTTATTTTTACAAAATCTGATTTAAGTAAATGGTTAATTTTTTGGCAAATATTTAAATTATGTGATTTAGATGAAATATACTGACTTTAAGTGTCGATCTGGTTAACCTTCCCTGTGGAAAAGTCGGTCACAGGTCATTACTTCAAGGACTATCTTTCTGATTTTACAGCTTCTGGCCCTGATACATAGTGGGATTATGGTGATTTATTTATTTATTTATTTTACAAATAACATGCCTTGCAAACCTGCTTGCAGTGTTTGGGTTTCAGAGGGTTAAGAAGAGCTAGTTTTTTGGATGAAAGTCATTACCATCTACCTGTTGCCCAATTATCACATCAAAACACACCCCATACTGGTGGAATCTACAAAAAAAAAGGTCAAGCTGATGGTCTACAAATGCCAAAACCCATCAGTAGGTAACAAGCTATCTAATTAACAAACTTTTGCATCAAATCTGTTGCCTATATGCGAGTGTCTTATGTTGTATTTTGTATACATTGAATTATTCTATATCCATCTTCCTAATTCTTCAAAGACTTCACAGCCACAGAACACATTTCATCTGCCAAACGTTGACAGTGTTTTGACAATTACCATTAGACACAGCTCATTTTAAATACTGCAGTGCTACTGAGATGACACATTTCTATCTTAGTCTGTGAAAGTACATTCTAGCCAACGTGTGGGCTATTTGTCTACAAGCTTTAGCTTTCACATCTGCCCACAGTGCGCAAGTGAATTTCTGCCTTGTATTTGTGTATCAAGCTATTTCTGACTCTCCGTATCTCTGTGCGTTTGTGCGTGTGTGTGTGTGTGTGTGTGTGTGTGTGTGTGTGTGTGTGTGTGTGTGTGTGTGTGTGGTCGTTAATGTTCTCTGTGTGCGAAGCTCAGCAACGCTCCTGGCCGGTGCTGTCTGTACAAACATAGGATGTGGTGGCGGTCTGTGGGGGAGCCAGGGGGAAGTGGGAAGGCATGGGCCAACCCTGGTGCGCACACACACGCTCGCTCGCTCGCTCGCTCGCACACACACACACACACACAACATGCACAGCTACTGAAGCAGGAAGCTCCAAATCATACACCCCCCTCGGAGATACGAGAACACACACAGGCACAGACACACAGGAGGAAGGGGCTGTTTCTGCCGCTCTAATTAAAACAGTAGCAGCGTACCTCAGCCTGCCTTTAACAAGAGGAACAGTAAAGGAGAAAAAACACAGGAAGTATTGTGCGTCACAAATAAACACAGCTTGCTGTTGGGGGTTCGGGGGAGGGGGCTCACAGTGGGGAAAAATAAAAAAAATTTTTTAAAAAAGAGGTGGGGAGTGGGCCATAGGCAGAGAGGATGTGGTCTGCACAGCGTGTTAGGACCAGAGTGTAAACCACAACCGTGCCTTTATCGCTTTGGTCAAACTGCTGCAAGCACACGCAAACACACACACACACACACACACACATATATATATATATATAAACACATGCATGCACTGGCCACTCCCAGCCGGCCGAACCAGTCGCTGTCGCCAGCACAATGCTCTCCTCCAGCAAACCACAACAAAGCCGCACAGCATGCATAAACACTTGCACACGTTCACACATAAAAGACACACAAACACACAGACTGCACAAACACGTGATTAACACCTGACCCAGAGTAAATGTTGTCAGTTGGTGACCTGTGATTGGTCTGATAACAAAAAGGTGTCTCTCGCACACCCTTCGATATGTTTCCTCCTGAGCTCCTACAGTTGTGGCCGTTGAGACCAAAATGCATCTCATGTGCCACTGATGTTTTTCCACAGCAAACCACCGACGGAACATTTCATCACATCTACCTTTGCGCCGTTTCCATTTGTGGCGAAGTCAACCAACTGACTGTTGTTTGCAGAAATTTTTAAACTATTTGAGGGCTTCCAGCTGTGTGCATTGGTGTGAAAGATTTCAGATTGCAGCTGCTGGAAACTTAACTCTCTTCTAGCTGCACTGATTCCGTCAGCGCGACATGGTGGTAACTCGAGATGACACCAAGTCTTACCTCCACGAGGAAGGGCAGAACAGGGACAAATGTTTTGGTGCTGCTAGACAGCAGGGTGAGGGCTCTGCAACAGTGCATCCTCAGAGGGTAGTATCTTGCTGTGGGCACCAATCTGAAAGACAAAACAGTGGTCAATGTCTCCACCTGCTGTTGGTAACATGCACCGCGTCGTGGTTCGTTTCACACAAATACACACAATGTTAGAAAGCACATTCTAAAACAAATGCCAACTAGCAACCTCAACTTTCTCTGAAGCTGGTTTGGAAGGTAACAAATCATAAACAACTGAATGATTCAGATTTTTTGTTCATAACACCACAACCATTAATTCAGAATCCAAAGATTCAGGTAACTACATACAGCAATGCCCAACATGTGTTTTAAATACAGCCAGCAGCTATGCAAATTTTAGCAATCATATAAAAATGAGTGGTAATGTAGTTACAACAGTATAGCGATAAAGACATGCACTGCAGGTTCAGTCCTATTATTTTTTTTGTATACCAGACAAATAACTTTGTAGATAAAGTTCTATATTACTTAAAAGCTCTTTTTCCAGCTTTCTGTTCTCTATAATGCATTTTTAATATGTCATACTCTTACTCAGCATCGATATATCTGCTTACTTTTATCATCATCTACTCCAATCGACCAACTCTTAGCACTGCTGCAGTCCTGAGTGTGCAACATCTTATTTGTCACCTTTTGCCACCACTCCTTATGTCATTTAAATTGTGTTGTTAAAACATGAGACCCATTATTCTCAATTCTTCTCAGTCCATTTGACAGTTCAGACCAAAAACATCTGTTTTAAAAAGCACTTTCACTGCCAACAAGATCTTCTAATGTCACTAAACCTGACCGATTTAAGCTTTTAAAACTTTGATTTTGTAGAAGGAGGTACAGGAGGAACTGATGTCATAACATTAAATCGATAGGTATACTTTGCCTTTCAAATGAACTTGCATCTTTATCACAATAACCCTCAACTTATTAATATTAATTACTGTAAATGTAGAACTTTCAATCAAAAACTGCATTACCAGACAGCCCGGTACCAGACGTCATGGTAAATACTTTGTAATGGATTATGTGCCTGAGGTGGTAGAAGGATGAACCAAGAATCTGAAATTTTTGTACATTTTTCCTGCATGTGGTCCAACATGTGCTGAAAGTTACGTAATAAAAATTGCACACTCACTTGATAGTGCCAATTATAACTTGGCAGAGCGGATAGATCAGAGGTTGGAGTACATCACTCGGGTGCAGGGTGCTGAGGACTCGACACCACAGGTACAGACAGTGGATGTACTGCCAGTTATACACCGACTGGTATGTTTCCTATCAGCAATCAAGCACAACACAAATTATATATAATCAAACAAGCATCAGGCTGGTGTACTGAAAACTCAGGTATCAGCTTTGTGCTGTATTTTAACTTTAGTGGCACAGCCACTATAGATGTTAAGGTCAATTTTAGCTATGCAAAAAAATACTCCTTTTGTTATTCAAATAACAAGCATTAAGTGTATAAAATTATTGTCTTCTATTTATCCAGTCATATATCCCAGCCGCCTCTGCATGTACACCCATAAAGCAAACATCCACTTATATTTTACATAATTAAGAGAACAGTCCTTGAAATTAAAAAGCAAAATAAGCACACAGTATTCCAACAGCTGTCTCCCCATCCATTTATTTGTATGCCTCTTTAAAAGCACATAAGAAGGTCATGTCTGTAAGCAAATACACTTAGTCAAACACCAACCTTTTTCTTCATTGTCATGGCATTTCTGAGGTGGATGGCGAGCTGTCGGATGTACATGAAGGAGTGCTGATAAGTGGCCTGTGTGTCCAGCGCGTACATCTCTGAGAGAGTTCTCTGCATGAAGTTGATCATGGGCAGCACGTTGGGAGATGTGAACTTGCAGTTCTGCACGTAGGAAATGTACATTTGCTGCAAACAGAAAGAAAATCAGTCGTAAAAGAGGAGCACAATGCTGTAGAGAAAAGCAACTTGGTGTTGTCTATATAGGCTGGATGTGGATTTGAATGACCAATACAAAAAAGCTGTTACACTCCAGCTCCTTGTGCGATTGTGATTTGACTTAACCAAGCAAATACCCTCTTCTATTCAATTTTACATCCAGGTTCTACTCTTTCATTCAAGCAGCTCACCTTGAGAATAGGGTTAAGATACGTTTCCTGCTTGTGTCTGCAGATTTTGTTGAGGGCCAAGAAGGCGAGAACCCGACTTGTCTCTTCCCCTGTGCTCCACTGCTTCAGAAGTTGCTAGACACAAAAATATGAAGAGCGTTATTAAAAAAAGACTCGCACTAACACGGCCTCTTTATTCCATGATGTTATTTTGGATTCAGATCTTACCTTTACCAGGTGACGACACTGTTTGGGTAGACAAAGGTAATAAGGTACAAGCTGGTTGGTGTGCTGCAGGACGGCGGTGATGACTGTAGCTTCTGTTAGACAGGATAACAGCTACAGGTGGAGAGGATTGTATTCAGGATGAAAAGATGGAAGAGGAAGAAAACGTTAGGGCAGCTCTCTCAAAGAGAAAACATCTGTATTATAATTACTGTGTCTCATGATATCTGCTTCGTAAGGAAACACAAAGTACAGAGACAGAAAACCAACCTGAACAACTCCACTGAGATACATCTTTATGTCAAGCTGATTCCTCTGCCATTTTGGACTCGATGAAGGGAACACCAATCTGAGATCAAAGCAGAGGAAGTAACAAGCAGGGAGTGAACAGATTGAAGACAGCTACACTGAAACTATGAGCAAGAGATGAGACCTGCCGATAAAATGTTGATTTCATACTTTTTCTGGTCTTTATCCGGCTTCAGGTTGAGCATCCTCTGCATGGTCACATGAATATCTCTGATACAGAACAGGACCAAAGCGTTGAACACTGCACAAAGGACAGAAAACAAAAGATTTAGGTATATTCACAAAGAGTGCAACTTGCTGCAATACATCTTACATGATATTGTGTATAATATCATATTACAAAGTTTTCATACAAAAAACCAAAACCCCCCAAAATATTTACTGGAAAGATTCGATCTTTTCTGTAACATATATCAGATTCTATATTTGTGAGTTTGTAAGTCACTTTTGTAACTTATATTCTTTTATTTGTCATTATTATGAGGCACACAGAGAAGTGATAGTTTAAAACAATAACAAAACCTTTTTTGGATTAAAAAAAAAAATAAAATAAATGTTCCTTTTAGTTGAAAGATTCCCTGTTGTTTTTTTTTTGTAAAACATCTTCACAGTCAGTGTTACTCACCAAAACATTTTTTTTGTGTATATTTGAGATTTAACAAACATGCTGAACTTTTAGTTAATTAATGGTATTACATTTATATTGTAATAATTATTAGTATCAGTATTAGTATTAGTAATTATTAGTAACATGAAACTGGCCAAAACCTTACTGTTTTTTCAGTTTATATCAAGGATTATCACGTATAATAGCCTTTTTTTTCTTCAATCAATCCAGTCGAAAAGTCAGGAAATACTGAATGCCTCTGATAGTTTCTCTAAAGTCAAAGTGATGTCCTTGAATTGTTCGATTTGTCCAAACCACAGTCAAAAACCTCCAAATAATCAATTCACAGTGAAAAATAAAAGCACATGGCAAATCCTCACAATTTAAAAGCTGGAATCAGAGAACATTTAGCCTGTCTGGGTTTATCCTGGATCAGAATGGTTCTTTGGGAGTGACTACATTAAATAGTGAGATCAGTTAATGCCTAGCAAAGGCATTGAGTGTATTATTTGTTTTTATTTGGTGCTGCCTAAAAGCTCTGGGGGGCACCAAAAACTGTTCTATGTAGGATGTTTTTGTTTGTTTTGATAAAGTAGTATTTGGCTAACTAACTGATAAATCAATTTACCATTAGAGCATTAGGATGACGTACTGGAAACTACAATCAAGTATCTGGCCAGATTTATGATGATGTTGTCTCACATCTTAGCTATCATTTCTCTGTACCATTTTATTTAGCCAAATTGTCTGTATGGTTGCTTGCATTTACACAAAGTAACACACAGCAACTATGTCTCTTTGTGAATAAAATGTATAAAGAAAAAGTTTTGTAGAGAAACCTGCAGGGATATCTTAAAAGGCAGATGTACCCAAATACAATGCAAGCAGAGAGCTAGGTGAATAAATTACCATCAGCTCTCTAAACATACACATAACACCTTTGTCACCAAACAAATTAGGTACTACAATCATACTAGAATTGAACATTTTCAGACAATATCCTTTTCCCAAAAGACACAAATATGTGACAAAAAAACATGTGTAAATGATAAAATTACCAATGGCAAATATTATTCTACTGTCACACTGTAATAGCCTCCTGGGATACTTCAATAGAACAGAGCCATTGTTACTGTTACTACTAACACCTGTGTTGTTGTTTTTTTTTTTTACTGGAACAAGCCATTAAAAGTCAACAACACGTTGTGGCTAAGATATAAGCTATGCCCTGAACATTGCAGCTGAAAAATTACAACACCTTTAAGTAAAATGCCAAAAAAAACAGCACAGTGCCAATATGACACTAAATAAAACCACGATGTGCTCTCATTTAATTCAGTTTAGATTTTAAACATTCATATACAGCAAAAGCAATGGCAACTTAATTCTTCCATCAGAATGGTAACGACTGAACACATGTAAACACCTAACAAGTCTGGCTCATGAGATGTAGACTGCAGGTACAAGCTTACCATTTCACTCGACTCTCTACACGCCTCTGGCTATGTGCATGTTACCGTTTTCAAAAACAGCTTCACTAATGAAGCAACAACAACCACCAAGCTACTAACCCACCACACTCAAGAGTTCATGTTTTGCCAAAGCATGATGTTACATGCAAATATTCCACCAAAACAATTCCCCCGTCACCAGCACTGCATCCTTTGCTTGGCTCCACTAAACACAACTGTCACTTGTTCAAAGAAATAGAAACAAACCAAGCTTTTCCCCACTATAGCAGAATGATAATAAGGTGCAGCCGGACCATTGTGCACAGTGCCGTGTCTGTGAGAGAGGACGGTCTGTCTAAGTGAGACCAGGACCTACCTGAACTGTCAGCTACTTTGTATCGACACTGACCACCGCCTTCCCCCTTCGTCGTGGCGACAGCAGCCTTAAAGGCCTGAGTGACTTCTCTGAAGAGACGAGGAGTGGGCTCTTTCTTCAAAGCAGTTTTCCAGTCTTCAATCATTTTTTCCGTGACTTTGATAGCCTCCACTGCCTGCTTGGATTTCTTCGAACTTTTCTGACCGTCTTCATCATCGTCGTCATCATCATCGTCACCAGAGCTGGGCTCCTATATGCAAACCATTTGAGCATTTACATCTTCATGTTCCAACAGGACTAATTATGAACACACACACCGGCAGCCGTCTTACCTCCAGTGTAGATGGTAATTTGTGGTATCTTTTCTCATCCTCATCCTCAGAGCTGTCGGTGTCGTCGAAATTTAGCAGCGTTTGGTCGTTGGCTTGCAGAAACTTGTAGAACTCTGGATCTTTGCTCTTTAATCTGGACAGCTGCTCCTTGTGCTCAGAGGCCTTGCCTTTCTTCTTATCCTCTCTATAAATAAAAACATACACAAGAGTTACAATTCTGTCCTTGAGAGGTTTGGTGTCAATATCATCATCATCATCATCATCACCACAACAGCAAAGTGTGTTGTTATCCAGTAACAAAGGACTCACATTTGAGAAGCTGCAGAGTCCAACTTTTTCTTGTTCTTGGGCCCCTTCTGTTTGGGAGTCTCTTCTTCAGATTCACCTTCATCTGCAGAGTCAAACCCTGAGAGAAGGAACTCATCGACACTGAGTTCTTCTAGTTTCCTACAAAAAAAGGCAACAGTTCAACAGTTGAAATAAGTTAGCCAACATGTGTGTGGTCAACATGTTCTACAATACACAGCATTACCTCAAACGTGTAACTGTTTAGCTCCCTGCTTAGCTGCAAATATCTCATTTAACAATTGTAAACAGTAGGTTTATGACGGACAGAAAACAAACTTAATATGTAGTTGGCGTTTAAGTTAGCATTCGGCTCCATGCTAACACCATAGTTAATATACAATCACACCACTTTTATAATTGTCTTACGAACCCCGCAAATTTCACGACGAAGCTTGACAACTCTATAACTTTTAAAAACAACGTCAAACAACAGTTTAATCTCATATTATACAGCTAAATATAAAGAAACTAGCAACATACCTTTTCTGTTTCGCTGCCATGCTGGATTCAAAACGTGACACTATTCCTCACTACCCACAATGCCCCGCTGCACAACGAAAGAATTGGTTTTATGTTTCATGGCTATTGAACGGCCTGAGCGACTTTTATTGTTCTCACAAAAAGAAGCTCAATGATTTTGATCTAGCACTGAACGCATATGCTGGATTAGTATTTGACATAAGATCGAACCACCAACATTGCTCATATATAACGACTAATCCAATAAATATCAAGACATTTTAAAATCCACTGTGGCGTTCAAGACAACCTCGAAATTTTCACTGTCAACGCTGTGGGTACCAGAACAAGCAGTGTTTTGATGCTACACGTGAGCTTTAAATTAAATGATCGGCTGCATTCACGGGACACAGGGAGCTGCAGACCTGGGGATTTTTCCGTTTTCATTTTTTTGTTACTTGACGCAACCACAAAGCTGGGCAAGCTTACAAACCGGAGGAAATCACTGCTGTCAAATCGACACCGACGACGGCTGGTGGTAGGTGCTGTCTGGTTTGAATTTTCCTCAGACTTAGCTACCGTTAGCTAGTTTGGCTAATTTGCACGGAACTACTCAACTGTGACAACTATGACACTTATTTTACTTAAGTATTAGACATACATGCTCAATATCCACTGGTATACCTCGTCAGTATAGAAAAATAACAACAGGATTTATATTTTATTGAATGGAGTTGCAGACGGTGGCTGTTTGATTTATTGTCCGGGTTAACCGAAGAGGAGTACGGTTCGGGTTTTGACCAATCAAAGCAGTTTTATCAGAAACCCCGCCCTCCACGGTACGACAGACGAATTTATCGAACACACTTCCGCACTCCAGCCAGACAAAAGCGGTCGCTTAAGGTCGTGTGTGTCACTTCAAATAATAAACGAAATTACATTGCAGCTGTTAACATTTTGCGCATATGAAGTAACTTCCAGTGTATTCCACATTTGTCTCGACCTTTCCACAGTTTAAAATTTTCACAATGTGAGCAGCGTTGCTACTTCCCCCTCCGGCAGTTGCAGCTCCACCTTAACAGCCCGATGTCAGCTTTCATGCAGGCTTTTTTTTTGCATTGACGTCAACTGCATACAGCACAAAACAGAGGCTTTCTTCATATTTCGTATGCTTGAGTCAGAATATGGACAGATAGCCGGACGATGGTACCAATTTTAAACCAATCTGACTGCGACAGCTGTTGAATTATCTGCCGTCACTTCGAGGAAGACACTGTGTCCAAGGATAACCGCAACACAACCACCGGTAAAGAAATTACACATTCATCCTTTCTATTGCCGCTGCTGCAGCTGATAGCTACTGTTATTCAAAATAGATGGAGTGGGGGTTGGGGTTTCCTCTCATCACACCAGGAGTCTGATAAATGAAAAGGAGCGTCCTTCTGCCCCAAAACATTTGTGTGTCCAAGATGATTGTGTATGTACTGCTGTCCAGGAGCCACAGAGCCTTGGTGTGGATGCCAGCCAGGATTCTGAGCCAGAGACAGGAGAGGAGACACAGGCTTGGGATGAAGTGCTTTCCTCTGTTAGTTTTAACGGTGCCAATTGTGTTGACACATCTGTCTCAACCTCCTGTGTATCCATGTCTCAATTTGCAGCATTGTCTCATGTTATTCCCTTGGGAAGGAGAGCAGATTGTTCCCTCATACAGGGACATGGCTGGTGTGTTTTTATGGTCCATTGTGTTGTGGAAAATGGGACCCAAAGCTAGTCGCCAGGCAGCTGGGATGACATTTGAGATGGTGCTCAGTGGGACAGTGGAGACTGTGTATTTGAAAGAGAGCCTCGGAGCAGATGACAACGCTGTCATGATGCACTGATACTCTGTGAATTGTGTATTCGACTGACATGAGAAACTTAACTTCATCAGGATCAATAACACCTTGTTGTGTTTCACTTTTGAGTGTTGGACTTCAAACAGGTCAATATTCTCCGCTGATGAGATGCTGGTGGTTCCCTATTTGTTCTAATAGCCTTAAGCTTGTGTTATTTTCACATAAACCTGTCTTTACATTTACAAGCATGAAACAATTATTCAAAATGACAATCAAGCATCACTACAGGGTGTAAGATTTTTCTTACAACCCACTGTAGTACACAGTCACTCCAATTGCAGGCTACATGTTATGGAACAGTAATTATATTTATTTACCCAGTTAAGGGTGTTTAAAACAGCACATTTTATTGTGGGGGCTCTCCATTGGATGGTTCCTTGCTTTAGAGGACACTTTTCAAACCGTCTTTCTATTTAAAAAAATATCTTCTTATGGAGTTTTTTTTTTCTAACAAAAGACAAATTAGACTTTATTGATCCATCACTGAAGAAATTAACATGTTACAACCACTAGATACAGACGAGGCATGGAAGAAGCAAGACAAGAAATGCAAAAGTACAAAATGTACAGGGAACTTTGCGAACATGAAGAGAAAAATGAATCGACAACAATGAAACGTACAAGTGTGTAGATGCCGTATGCATGTGTCAGTTTAGGATGAGCGTTGCACACGTGTGGATTGTTCAGTACATTAAATGGGAACCCGAAGGTACGTGTGTTTGTGAGTGTGGTGTGAAGCTGTTATGTATGGCATGTGGTGAGTTTGTTTCAGGTCACCCGCCACAGAGACATGATGTATAGAGTGAAAGCAGCGGAGGCGGCCAAAGAGTAGCTCTTTTGTTGGATCTGCTGCCATATTTAACTGCCCTCATGATCTGGGCATCTTTCCTGGTAATTAAGGTTATAATGTTGAGCGGTTTCTCCCCTCCAGTCAGCTTCTGCTCAGATGCCTGTTTCTCTCAAATTTAGCATTTGTGATTAAAATTCCTGTCGTCTGTTTTTGGCCTCTTCTAAATTTGTTTTAGTCTGGTTTGCCTCATTCAGTAGTTTCTTAATGAATCCCAAATATTCATCAGACAACTTCTAAGACGCTGCATGACGAAGGTTATGCAACATTCTGAAGGGTGTTCTTTCAAGAGCAGGGTGAGGGGAGTTCACAGCTAATCTTAGTGCAATTAAAGTCGGTAGTCAGGAGAAATTGCAATTAGAAAAATCAAGACCATCCAATAGATGAAATTACCTGCCACGATCTGATTCTTCTTTAATTAATAATGTTCATTTTTTGACTCTATCTAATTGTCATAGTGACATCTAATCAGTCTTGACACTGAATGTCAAATAATGAGGCCAGCCATCCTACTACGCTTTCTAACTGTAATCAGATTACTGTCATGCTGGTAGGGCTTCCTGTCACAGCTGACAGGATGGCTGCTATCACTGGAACAATAAATACAATGATTGCTGAGGACACCTGTCATAACACCTGCCTTCTTAAAGCTAAACTTTGCTCTTGAGACTTTTCTGAGGACAAAAAAAAAAGATTTTTACAGCACGATGACATTGGTATTAACTGACATCAAAATGGGTTTTCTTTGTGTTTCAGTTGCCCAGAGTGCGGCCCAGGCAAGAGGCCACGACCGCCACATCAGGCACCATGATGGAAGGGGGCATGCAGCTGCTCAACCGTGATGGCCACAGCATCTCGCATAACTCAAAGCGGCACTACCACGACTCGTTCGTGTCCATGAACAGGATGCGACAGCGTGGTCTGCTGTGTGACATTGTGCTTCATGTCTCCAACAAAGAAATCAAGGCGCACAAAGTGGTGCTGGCGTCTTGCAGCCCTTACTTCCATGCTATGTTTACCAGTAAGTTCAGTTCCGGTCGTCCAATTAAGTGTCACACATTCTGCCTGTTTTCATGCCTGGTATCCACAGAAATCAGCATGGGGTATGTCTCAGATGTTTTAAGCTCTGACTTCAGACTGCACATTATTTTGTTGATTTGATGACACAAGAACTTGTGCGTGCACATTGAATGCCACTTCATCCTTTCAACATCATTGCTTCCTTCCTCTTATTCCTCTCTGGGGCACAGGTGGTCATACGAGGTGTGTGAGTCTCACATTTCCTCCCAACACTGGATCTTTGTGAGGGTACAATGTGTCTCCAGACAGTCGGTTAACTGGAGGCTCAGCTGCCGGACTTCCTCTCGCCTGGCCCAGTCACTAATTAGCTTATTTTAACAGACAAGATCAGTAGATGTGTTTGAGTTTGATATCTAATAGCAGATGAAACATTTGACCATCAAAACGCAGAACTGCGGGAATCAGAGCGGGCAAGTGTGTATGAATTCAGGAATTTCAAAGATCTCACACAGTTAAAACAACTGATTAAATGGACGGCAACAAACGAGCTGTGCTGACATTTGGCAGCGGTGTTGTATATATAAGGAGATGCTGCGTGTCAGGATGATTGAACAGGGAGGCAGTTTTATCAGGCAAAGTTTGATTGGTTATAACTTGTACGAAAAATGCAACTGCTCTCATTCTTTGCGGTCATGCAGATGAGATGTCTGAGAGTCGGCAGACCCATGTGACTCTTCACGACATCGATCCTCAAGCTTTGGAGCAGTTGGTCCAGTACGCCTACACAGCAGAGATCGTGGTCGGGGAAGGCAACGTGCAGGTATGTTGGACGTTTTCACATTCGCAAGCACGACTATTAAATTAAGCTTGAAATTTGACCCCTAGAAAGCACAAAGACACACCAGACTCAGTGCAGTTCCACCTGTAATTGCCCCTCCTCGTAGACGTTGCTCCCAGCAGCGAGCCTGCTGCAGCTCAATGGGGTGCGGGACGCCTGCTGTAAGTTCCTCCTCAGCCAGCTGGACCCTTCCAACTGCTTGGGCATCAGAGGCTTCGCTGACACACACTCCTGCAGCGACCTGCTCAAGTCAGCACACAAGTATGTCCTGCAGCACTTTGTGGAAGTGTCCAAGACAGAGGAGTTCATGCTGCTGCCACTGAAACAGGTAGGGGTGATGCTTTTTGTGTCTCCTGCTGTGTCCTCTGCAAACTGGTGCTTTTACAGAAGGCGGCATATTCATGGCGGGAAGTAGTTGATAAACCTGTTGGTCAGTCATACTGGTCATTTGTTTACCATGAAATAGGAAGTTACCATGTGTAAGTTTGTGCATGAAAGCCACCGGCATGTAGACATTTCCTGATTTGGCCGAGTCTTAGATTACTTTGTGACAAATGGTCAGAGTCATGTAGCTTTAGATTGTTGTTTATTCCAAATTCATAATGTACAGTTTTTAAATAAAAGCTTTGTATTTGTTACACTTGATTAATCCACCCAATTGCTTAGAAATATACCAAAACATAAAGAACATAAAATGGTGTTCCTACATATTGTTTATGACCTTTTCCCCATTAATATGAGCTCAACTGTCAGTGTCCCGAAGGGAAGTGCTCATAGGCTCATTGTTGTGTTTTGAACACAAAACCTCTCCTCTTTCCCTGCTTGTTGCATCAATCACCGTCTCTTGTGGTTTTATCATTCCACTGTGCAGCCATGAACTACTTTATCTGGCACATCGACTTAGCCAGACCATCACTTATTCATCAGCTGGGCTCAGCAGTGGCAACACTGTGGTTCCTGTCCTGAAAGTGGTAATTAGGCAGAGCTGGTGACATTTCCACAGCTGCTGCACTGTTTATAGAGCGAACAGCACTGTTTACTGCTCTGAGGTATCAATAAGGATCACTGTCTTAGTTTGAATTTTTTCACTGTTGCCAATGTACCAATGCCAAGGTTTTCTGGGGAAATTTATCTTAGATTTATTCATCCATCCATCCGCCCGCCGCTATATCCATTTATCCTCTTAGAGGGTCGTGGGAGGCCTGAAGTTTGAGATAAGTGTCAGACTCAGATCATCTAAGACACGTTTGCTCTCTGTTCCCGGCGTTAAAACTTAGCACAGAGAAGCAGCCTTTACTTTTTATGCTCCACATATCTGGCACAAACTCCCAGAAGGCTTGAGGTCTGCTCCAACTCTTAGTTGTTTTCTTGTTGCTTTTCTGTTCGCCACTGCCTTTTACTACATCACATTTGGGACTATTTATTCATATTTTTATTACACTGAAGCTGCACTCTAAATTTATTCTCATGTTTGTTTGTTTTTTGGGTTTTTTTAACCCTGTTTTTTTATTCTTGATTTTGTGACTTATTTCCATTCTACTTGAATCCCTTTTAGCATAATATCTTGTTTCCTTTTACACCATCCTTTAATCCCTTTTATGTAAAGCACTCTGAATTGCCATCATTGAAAGGTGCTACTCAAAAAAGCTTTGCTTCGCCTTTGCTAGTTTGACTCCCAAATTGTCAGGTTAACCAGCTTTTATTGGGCTCTTTTCAGCAAACTAATGAAAGTCTCACATGTCCTCTGAATGTGTCATTCAAATCTTGGAAGCCTATCTAGCTGTGTCGTCTCCACACAGATGTCAAGTAAACAGCTTCTACTTGACATCTCCAAGTTTATAACAGCCAAAAAACACAATGAAAATATATCTTTTTACCATACAGGACCTTTAAGCAAAGTACTTAACAGGAATCAGTGGAGCTGCTCAGTAGCCAACTGATCAGACTGTTGGTTATAGTGGCTGTATCTGAGCATGAATGTGTGTGGTGACCATGACGTTCCCAAAAAAGATGGCATTATTCTAAACGGTGCTTTTCCACTTTCAAGAACTGTAATTTCCCAAGAACTAATGTGTAGACCACATCAATGGGAAGATTAAGCAAGGTAGTCCACTGACTTAAACAGCCGTGATGATCTCAAAGGCTCGATCCCCAATCTCCACTGTAGGAGACTCATGGACTTCGAGGCACATTCACGTTTATTGAGAGAGGGCTTAGGGCTGGTCTGCTATCTAATTGTTATGTGCATAAGGACACTGATGCAGACTTTTTAACGCTATTAGGCATCAAACAGCCATCCAAATTCACTTTTGTTTTTTCTTTTTAATGGCAATGCGTTATTTTAAAGCAATGGGTGCTGTCACAATGGTCTGTCTCCCTCACTCCTTTTTTCTATCATTTCAAGCCCTCATGAACTCGCACATCCAGCACTGCAGCTCTGACGTCAGTTAAGTCTGTGAGGGTTTAGTGATTGAGACTGGGACTGGGCCAAATTCCCTTTGAATGTCATCCTTTGCAAAAATTGGGGAACAAACCTTGGGGATTCATCAGTCGTAAAATCTCTTAGACTAATCCTTCCTGATTTTTGTCGGGCACAAACTAGAAGCAAACCAAAATGTTTGCAACTGCAGTTTTTTCAACATACTGGGTGTATACCTACAAATAAGGTTAGCACTACAAACTCCACCCTGTGGGTATAATACTGTGTTCAGCTGACCTCAGAAGTCGGAGCTGGGAATGACATCCAACGTAAGTTGACGGTGTTCCAATACAACAAGTAGGGAAATCAGGATATAGACCTCCAGGAAAACCTTTGTATTCAGGTCAGGCATTGTTAACAACATTAGTGGATAACAACACATCATGTGGTATTTTGCACATACAAACACTGTAGCAACATGTCTGTGGATAAATGTTGCAATTGATTTAATGTGACACACATAAGACAGAAGTGCTCATAAACAATACATTACAACAGCTTTCACGGCTGTTGATGTGCATAACAGCCATCTTGGATTTTGAGGTCAGGGTTGGTAATGCTCCACCGAACTTTCTGAGTTGGAAATCCAACTACAGGGGGTGTTTGAGTTGAAATTTCCAACTGAGAAATTGAAAGTTCCCAGATTCCATTTCAACTAGAATGCACCATAAAACCATCTGCCTGGAACATAATTTCAACTTTAATTCAAAATGATGTTGTTCCCTGAGGAAAGCTCCTGCAGTGTGAACATGTGTAAAGAAACGGCCCCATAACTGCGTATTTTGTTATATGAAATGACATCTTTTTCAAGCAAATGCCTGTAGAGCCTTACCAGGTGACAGTGAATTAAACGGGCAATGAAGAGAAGTGACAAACAGCTGCCAGCATCACTTTCCCATTATCTTTGCACCTCTCTGAAGAGCAATTCCCACAGCACTAAAGTGATGGTGCTCCATGAGAATAAAACACTAAGCTTTCCTCATTCTGTGGCCTTCAAAGCCCTGAGACTGAGTCTGCAATGTGAGTGTGTGGGCACAGTCCATTAAAACAGTGGAAGTTAAGCTGCATAAAGGCAGATTAAAAATAGACAATTTTCTTCATTTCCATTCTTCTCTCTCTGTCTTTCCTTTGGCTTACCACCCCATTCTGTGTGCAGCTGTCCTGTGCCTGTCATAAATCTGCACCCGATCTGGATTTATGCACTGACTGCTCTAAAGGATTCGGAGATCACAGAGCTGTAAAATATGCCCCATATTTCTTTTCATGTTCTGTGAAGGAAGTGGCAAGATTGTGACTAGCCGTCGTTGGTGATCTTTTACTTATGCAGCATCACATGCATGACATTTTGGAGACAACGCTCGATGGATGCATCTTAATTACTATGTGTATTGAGACATCCTGACATAGCTGAAACCCTTGTCATTCATATTTCCCTCATTCTTGCTCCGTGCTATAGTACGAGGACAGTTAAAGCACTCCTAAACACAGCCAGTTTTCTTCTACATTTCCTCTACACACTTCTGGTAGAGATGATTTGATGCAGTGTGTGCATGCAGAAGTAAGAGGGACTGCAGGGTGGGGTAACAGCAGTATTTCTCTGTGTGGCTGTGGATTAGTAGAAGCTGTTCCTGGGAGGCTGCTAACTGTTGCCCTGATCTGGCCAGGCAAGACAGCAGCAGCAGCAGCAGCAGCAGCAGCAGCAGCAGCAGCAGCTGGTTTCTCTGGCCCCACCCAGCCCTGCCAGCTTTGGGTTGAGCTGGGAACAGTGCCAGCCAGCCACTCAGACTGCAGCATTCATTGTTGCACAGATATACTCATGCACAAGTAGTGGTTACTGAAATATATCAAAGCACAATCACTCATACAGAGACTGTAAGATCACACCACAAGCATTTATGTGTACGTGCGTGTGTGCATTATCAGAATTACTCTTTGAGTTGGTTATTTGTATTTAAGTGTCATTTTAAAATGATGCCAACAAATCAAGCAAAACAAATCAAGAGAGACAGACAAGAAGAGGGAGAAAGTTAAGCAACAGTTCAGCAGGCAGTCAGGTACAACATACAGCAACTTTGGCCAATGCAATTTACTTCCTATGTGTTGACATACTAGGCCAGAAAGCCTGTACTGCCATATTTGTCGTTCTTTTTCAGCAACAAATGCTTCTGCAAGTGCTGTGTGATGGTCAACGTTAAATTAAATGCACTGTCATACTGAATTTCAAAAGATTTCTCTTGTAAGTCACAGTATGAAATGACTCAGCCTGTGTGCTTTGTCCTCTCTGTCCAGGTCCTGGATTTGATCTCCAGTGACAATCTCAATGTGCCATCTGAAGAAGAAGTGTACCGAGCCGTGTTGAGTTGGGTGAAACATGATATAGATGGACGCAGGCAACATGTACCTTGGGTAGGTCTTTCCTTGTGTCACCTGAGCAGAATTCTCAGCTCACGTTGTTTAGTTTTGACTTTGGACAGCATCTCTGTCACTGTTTCTTTATTCCCTTTGACCCCAACTCACCGCCTGGCTTTCCTCTGTCCCCGTCAGCTGATGAAGTGCGTGCGGCTGCCACTGCTTAGGCGAGACTTTCTGATGAGCAACGTTGATACGGAGCTGCTGGTGCGTCACCACTCGGAGTGCAAGGACCTGCTGATCGAGGCTCTCAAGTATCACCTGATGCCTGAGCAGAGGGGAGTCCTGAGCAACAGCCGGACGCGCCCTCGACGCTGTGAGGGCGCCAGTCCTGTGCTCTTCGCGGTTGGTCAGTGTCCTCCGAAAGGTACCCATTAGGGTACACTTAGACCACACATCAATTATATTAAGACTTTATGTGTGATTTATGGTCTGTCTGAACTGCATGTTTGATGGTCAGAAAGTGCTGGAACAACTCCCCACAAACCTTTCGAACAGGACAGTGGGGCTTTGTTTCAACCTTTAGCTGTAGCTTTCCAAAACCAACAATGTGACATTCACACCAGCCTTACTCTGTTGCCCTTTAATAAATTAAATTGCGTCTCCTCCCTCTCAGTGGCAGCCAGCTTTTCACTCTGCCTCCAGCATGGTCGTTTGGAAGGACTATAAACACATTTTATTTTCGATGTCTAGAACCCCACAAAATGGGAAAATTCCTTTTAAGTAATGGCTTTCTTTGACCAAAATCACTATGTTCCTTATACTATTTGCATTTCTGCTATAAATTAAACTATTATCTAATCCATTTTTCTTGTTTTTTGTGTGTGTGTCTCAGGTGGTGGCAGCCTGTTTGCCATCCATGGAGACTGTGAGGCGTATGACACCAGGACAGACCGCTGGCACATGGTAGCATCCATGTCCACTCGGCGGGCACGGGTGGGCGTGGCAGCCATTGGGAACAGACTCTATGCTGTTGGAGGGTGAGTGATGATGACCATAGTCTTGCTATGCCAGCCCACTCTATAGATTGGTCTGGCTGCACCACACTATCATTCTGCTATAGGGGGAAAAAAACTCTGGTATGTTTTGTATTTTGTTAAACCAGTCGCAGTGGCTTTGGTCGTAAAAAAGCAAACAATGCGGATACTGTATTCACTCAGAATAGTGACGGGTGGAATTTTTTAGGTGGAACATTTGCAAATGTGAAGCTGAGCACTAACTAAAATAAACGATCCACCGAACATAAACTAGCAGGGCTGCCTTACTGCATGATCCTAATCCTCGGCAAAACTATGCTAGCCCCGAAGTTGTGGTTGTTTCCCGTAGCAAAGAAAATGATAATGCGCAGATAGGACGAGGAAAGAACAAAGCTGCCTGAAAATAAGTGGCTAATGGCAGTTTTAAACCCACATCCTACATCCAGTGAGTCAGACTATGATAAACAAAGTGCCCTTGAAAGTGAACCTTAGCTGATACCACCTCATCTCTTCCTCAGTCATTACATTGTGTGGTTTAAACTACACTTGAGGAGAAGCTTTTTGTAGCTGCAACATTAAAATAATGTACATGTAAAATCACCTTGAGTGAAGCAAAAACTAACATTTCTATACTTCTAATAAGCTTTTAAAGGTTTTCCTGAATGCAAAATGCCTTCTTAACCTGCCTATTTGCTATGGGTTGCATATTTATTGATAATTCAAGGTAACAAGCTTCAATTCAAACCTTTTCTGAGTCATTTTAATCCACATCTCTCCAGCTATGATGGCACCTCCGACCTTGCAACTGTGGAGTCTTATGATCCCATCACTAACTCCTGGCAACCAGAGGTTTCTATGGGAACACGGCGAAGCTGTTTGGGTGTAGCTGTCCTGCACGGCCTGCTGTACGCTGCTGGAGGTTATGATGGAGCTTCCTGTCTCAATAGGTACACAGAGATGAACATTTTTCTGATGAATGCGGAACACCTGATCCTTTTAAGCTAAATCTATCATTGCTGTATCTTGTTGCACTGTATTTGATCACCTCAATGCCGTTTTCCAGGCCAGTCTGAGTACCAGCCTCGCAGGGTCATTACTGTGAATACAAGTCTCTTTTTTATCATTCAGTGCAGAGCGTTACGACCCTCTGACCAGCACGTGGACCTCAATTGCTGCCATGAGCACCCGTAGGAGATATGTACGAGTTGCAACTCTGGGTAGGAACTTGTAAAAAAAAAAAAAAAATGATGTTATAAACAAGCTGTTCTGCAAAATATTTACTTTTCACTGTCTGCATTTTAATAACTGAAATCAAGAGGGAGGTACCACCTTGGTGTGCAACTGCTAATATTTACATTCTCAGTGTTTACTCCCTTTTTCCCCTCCAGATGGCAGCTTGTATGCAGTGGGAGGTTACGACAGCTCCTCGCATCTCGCAACAGTGGAGAAATACGACCCCCAGGTAAACTGCTGTTAAATTTATCATCGGAATCTGTTTCCGTGTTTAGATGGACTGAATGTTGCAGTCAAAACCACAGGGTGTGAACGTATGACCAATGCTCCGTCTCTTGATTGGACAAACAGAGCAACACATGGACGGCCATCGCCAACATGCTGAGTCGGCGCAGCAGTGCCGGGGTGGCCGTGCTGGACGGCATGCTGTACGTCGCAGGAGGCAACGACGGCACCAGCTGCCTGAACTCTGTGGAGAGGTTCAACCCCAAGACCAACACCTGGGAGGGGGTCGCCCCCATGAACATACGCAGGTTAGCCTGTCGCCAGAAGTCAAATTAGTACTAGCAGAGCAGGCCATTTGGGTCCAGTGACTTTAATAGCATTTCTAGTGTGACAAAAAAAGAAGTGAAGTTAGCCCGGCCACTGGGGAATACACTTGTAACTGTAGCAACAACAAACAACAGATACGAGCTCTGCAGAAATAAATACTTGATCTGCAGGACCTTCTTGTTTAGAAGAGTGCCACCAGAGCACCTTAGAAACTAGTTGCCAAATGTAATTCTGTTTTTTTTTTTAATATTACATAGCTAGATGTTTCCTTAAGTCAAATGCTCAAGAACATGTGATTATGATGTTACATTAACCATTTCATCTGTTAAAGAGCACTACTACAAAACATACATCCATTAGCTATACCTGCTTTATTTGCTAGAGGGTTGCCGGGTGGCCGGATCCTAGCCGAGGCAATCAGTTACTCTTGCATTTTCTTTTTTGGTGCAGTTAAGAGACAAAGAAAATACAATAGAGAAGACGACAATTGACCTGGGTTGGCTCCAGGGAATTTAATTAAATGAGGCACACCTTTTAACCAACTAAGCCTTCAGGATGACCCAGTTCTAGTCTTCCATTTGCAGAGGTTCAACTCAGGGTAATGACATGCTGAAATTGCCTGAATATTTTAAAAGACTTTCCAGATTTTATTCTTCTTTTTGTGCTTCCTAACAGAGAAGAATATGAACTCAGCTGGTCTTTATTTAAGAAGGAGCAGTTTTTGCATCCTGTGCACATTTGCATCCACCGGGCAGAAGGGAAGGCATGGAGATAGAGGAGAAAAATGTGGAGTGAGAGGTTGGGGGACGATAAATCTGGCACGTGCATGGTCTAAAATCACCTTATTTCAATAGCTTAAAAAAAAAAAAAAAAGGGTACCCCGCTGTAATTATTTTGCTCTGTGGAAAATCTTCACTGTTCAAAGCGAAGGATTCAGGGCATTAGGATGTCTTCTTTACTGGCTAAACCTTCTTAAGGCATAAACATCAAATGACCTATTTTCCAAACCAGTCGCTGCTTTTTTTTATTTCTTAAAAGATGAAAGCTGAAACTTGTATTGCAAGTCATTATCAAAGCAGGTATGCACACACACATTCTCGCCATTGTATTGTTACAGAATCTGCATCAGGGAGGGAGATTTATTTAGCGATGTAGCAGCCTCGGATTTGTGATCACATCAGCAGATTCACTGTGTTCCCAGGGCTCCTAGAGACACACACACACACACACACACACACACTTGGCTGTCTGTGAGTCAGTATGTTGTAGGAGCAGGAAAACCTGACAAGAGTTGACTGTGCAGCTCCATGAATAACTCATGGCATTAATCAGCTGTGTGGCTCTGAGTGCTTTTCTTATTCAGTTGCTGAGAGACTCCATTTACATGGTGCAAGATATCACACTGTATTGACCGCTCATCTGTGACTCGTCCAGAGCTACTTAACACATGTGGGGCTGAGAAAATATTGGTAGATTCACTGTGTTGGCGAAAATAGTCTCCTTATGTCGTGATCATGATTGCAACCTTTACGAATGAGCGTTCAAGCAATTTTGATTCTGTCTCTCTGACTCTTTTTAATGTCTCTCCCAACAAACCATTAACTTTTCCACTGCTTCTCTGATAAGATGAATAACTGCATAAAACTGGAACTTCCTTCCAAACTATGTAGGACATGAGGAATTTATTGTTTTGTTCAGTTAGTTGTTGTAATAATAATAATAGTCTTTGGTCAGTCATAGCAGTTATTGGCCCATCCAGAAGCTGCTTACATCTCATCTCTGTTGACATCTTTCAGTTGTTTTTCATCCAATCACTGACAATGTTCATAGTGTGGCCTTATATATTTTGTGATTATAATACAAAGACCACACTGGATCCAATTAGGGCTGCCACCATTATGACGCGATCGTCTGATTGCAATTATTTTAGGCGACTGTAGTCTTTTTTCCTCATCGTTACAATTGTTTCCATTTGGCCGCATGAAACTAACAGAAACGTCATGTTTCAATCACTATTTCTACGTTGTTTCCCCCATTTTCACCCCCGTCTTCTGCTTTGGTTTAATGACACCAACTGTTTATCTCAAGGCGCTTAACTTGTAATATTCCACCAACTGCATTTCAATGAGCATTTATTGACATAAAATTGGATTTAACTGCAAAGCCAAACACCACAGCAGCCCTGTGGGCATGTTTTGGTTTTAGCTTAATAACTTGAAGGAGGCAATTTGGCGGATTTGCAGCAAATATGTGACGGTCAAAGATGCTAATACCGTTAATGTGAAACTAATACATGGCATGAAATAAACAGAAAAATGCAGTTAAGTTGTTAGTAGTCATCTACATTTTCATGATTCGACAGCCCGAGATTCCGTTTAAATGAACAGGTGCTGGATTTTATTTGCACTCTGTTCATGCAGAAGGCCTAGAGATTATTATTCTCTCCAGAAACAAAATGGAAAAATGAATCTTAATATGTTGTATTAAAAATATGGCAGCAAAGCACACACAGAATTTAGATGCTGAATTAGATTATTTTTTTTCTCTCTCCAGGAGCACTCACGATCTGGTGGCTATGGATGGCTGGTTGTACGCAGTGGGAGGTAACGATGGCAGCTCCAGTCTCAACTCCATTGAGAAGTACAACCCACGCAGCAACAAATGGGTCGCAGCCTCCTGCATGTTCACGCGGCGGAGCAGCGTAGGCGTGGCCGTGCTGGAGCTTCTGAACTTCCCGCCGCCCTCCTCGCCCACCCTCTCGGTTTCCTCCACCAGCCTTTGACACGGGGTCACCGTTTGGCTGACCTCAGCCTCTGCTGCTACAGCCCAGACTGGCTCTGGGAAGAGACGCAACTGCTCGGTTTGAGACGGTGAGGAGGAGGAAGAGTGTTGGGAGTGGACAGGTAAATGTATGAAGAAAGGCGGATGTGAATGAGGCTCCTGGTTTGACACAGTGAAATTCAGAATTAGTGGCACTTATGGTGAAATTTAGCAAACCACACTATAACCACAATATCTGAAACGATATTGCACAAGTAACTTCTCTTTCCTTTTTCTTTGCACCAGCAACAAGCCAGATGGTTCTTAAAAAAAAATCAACGTAGCTTTCAATTTCGGCGCAATTGCAGCCTCAAGTAGAATTACTATTGGTGTAGAAATAATGATGGATACCCTGAAAGTGAGGTTATATGGAAAAAGGTTGGCTTCTCCTGCTTTATTGATTATTTTTTTGTAAAAGGCCAACAATCCCTTTAAAAATTCTAATATTCTCATTATCGTGTAACAATCTGGCTTCCATTTAGCATATTGCCATTAATTCTGAACTTCCCTATATCTGATCTGGAGGCCTCAAACTCCACTGTAAAGCTCCACCGTACAGATACCAGCTCCCACTCTCTTCGAGATATTTCCTGGAAAAGGATGTGTGAACATTGAGCAGTCTTTCCTCAAACCCCACTTTTTTTTTTTTCCACCACTCCAGTGTTTGACACACTTATCGTGAAACATGGTGGGCCTTTAAATTCTGTCATGTGTGATGTAAATGTTTTCGGTTTGATGTTGTCCTCTGCAAGGTTTTTCTTTGATGTCAGGAGTTTTTTTTTTTGCAATAATGTATAAAAAAAAAGAGAAACAGAATGATTTTACTTTTGGAATGTAGCTTTTTAGTGGTTGTACCATGCATGTTTACGTATTGGCACCGATTCCCCAAAAAGATGTTAAAAAAAAAAAACAACAAAAAAACGTCGTAGTGCTGCTGTGCCACACTAGGTGGCAGTAACAAGCAATGCTATAAACCCTTCTCACACCGCAAGAAAGCATGGACACCAACAACGTAGAAAAGCTCGGCCCTCAGAACTGCAAAGAGTTTGGATCCTTTTTATATATATATAAAAATATATATATAAAAAATATATATAAGAACAGAAAGTTATGTTGAACTATATGTATTTATAAAATGTATAAATTCTAATATATTCTGTTTTAAAGATGCTTAAAGAAGGAAACAGATCTGACCTATGCCTATTTAAGAGTGTTTTTAATATATTTATTTAGATGTGATGTGCATATCGTCAATGGAAATGACAAAGAGAATGTCTCAGTGTGAGAGCGCTAGCTGTTGAGTTTGTGTGCATTCAGAGTTTCTCCTGGTTAAGAGGACTGTTGCATTTTGATATGCAGCATTTCATTTGCATTTCTTAATGTTTCTTCACTGCCACAAGCATGACCTCACATGACACTGTACCTTACGTCCGCTACATTGATGAAAACTGCTTTAGTCTCTCGCCAACCCGTTGAGCTGTTAATGAAAGGATGCTATACTGTCTTTAACTCTACTTCTTGATCATAAAAAGAGTCGGAGGTGGATGTAATCCTTTTCACACATTATGGCTTACCATTACATTAAAGCAGCAATTACTAGTTTACCTTGAATATACCAACACATGACACTAATGAGTATTGTTGCTGACACTTGGTGCTGTCATCGTCCCGACCACACATAAACTGTTGTCTCGTTTTATTACCTCATCGTTGAAATTGATCCAGCTCCATTTCAATAAAGTTAAAATAGAAACAACTAACCACAAACATACTGGCTTTAGAACCTGTGGTGAGTGAATTGGGAACATCGCCAGTGAACCCGCTTTGTCGAAAATAAAAGGATCGCTTTGAATCTTTTTTTCGGCTCAATTATGAGTCAGTACCTGGGTTCACTTTAGTTCATGTGTAGTGCAGTGATACCATTCCAAACTTCTGAGAAGTTGCCTTTTCTCCTTATTTTGAAGGATTTTGTTGATCCGGTTCTGTTTATCTAAAACTACCTTATGTTTCATTTATGTGTAAGAGATGACGCAGTAGAATTGGAGCTGTGATGGCCTTAAGAAGATGCTTTTAAACTGTAAAGTCGATGTGAGTCAGGGATAGACTTTAAGACAAAGGCGCACATAACCACATAAGACTTTGGCCTCCGTTCTGTGGATCGAAATGTAAATAAAAGAAAAAAGAAGAGCTCAAGCTATCTTAAATCCATTTGTGCAATTTCAATGTGACTGTAGCTTTTTTTTTTTTTTTAGTTTGTGTTTAATGTTGTGATAATTGTTTATTTATGTTTCTTATTTATGACGAACTTTAAAATGTTGAATTTTGCACTATTGCGCAATGGAGCAATACTATACACTTTAAAAAAACAAAAAACAAAATAAAGATGTTTTCAGATGTGATAACCGTCCTGGTGTGTTTGAACACATGCAGACATGCTTAAAACATATCCTCTTACTGAAAAGATGCAGGTTTTATCTCTGCATCTGCAAATTCTATGTTAATCTCACGCTCACTACATGACACTGCGGTTGAGCGAAGCAACTAAAGTCCCTGTAAAAATGCATACAGACACATACACACATACTAAAGTTTGTGTTGCTAACAAAGTCTGTTGCTATGCTCACTAGACACAGTTCCTTGGTACCTTCCCAACATGCTCCTCTTTCACTGTGATCTAAGCAGACAGCTGAACACTCTCACTTTACCCTTCTTGACCTCAGTCACATGGCATTCACACCTGTGGCTGCCTCTGCACTCACTCAGCCCCATGAACTCCTGCTCTCTCAAAACACCTACAAACACAGGCCACATTTGCACAATGCAAAACGCCAACAGCTTTGAATGAGAGCAACAAAGGCTACAACTGCACATGGAGCTGGTTTAACAGTATGTTCTAAGGACGACGCAGGAAGAAACATCTGTGCTGAGGCTTGACTGTACTTGTGGCTTAATACTGTAAAAACTGAACGGTATCGGGGTTTTAAATATGCTCAGCACTGTTTATACAGTGTCAGATGTTCAGCATTTGCACAAAACCTCAAATATTCAGAACTGTATAGGAAAAGTTCGACACTTAAGTAAACATGCTTATTTGTATAAATAGATTGATGCTAACACTGCACTGTAAGAGAAAAAGAAAAAGAAAGATAAAGAAAAAATTTAATATTTAAGCAGAAAATACAACAACAGCAACAGAAAATAGCCATCTCATAACAATACAGTATTTTACATAAATAAAATTCATTTTATGGCCTTAATTTTCCATTATATTGTGTATTTTGGGGGCTTTTTGATGTTTAATCAAGGTTATTTACTCATATAAAAACAATGAAATGACCTATAATATATAAATACAGATGAGTTTAAGGCTAGATAAAATAATAAATGTAATGATAAAAACTGCATTTGCCAGATTACAGATGCTTATAGATATCATACACGTTCACTCTATACTCTGCATTTAAACAATATTCCTCATTTACCCAACAGATCCATGTAAATTACAGAACTAACACTTTTTTATTAATTGTATATAATTTTTGAAACATATTTACAGCATTGGACTTGAATTTAAGAGTTACATCTATTCAATAAAAAAAGGCACATTTGAAAAATTAAAATGTAGATTCTGATTCCTATTTACAGTTAGGTTTTTATTTTACATTAGATGTGCAAATTTAGTGTATTTTTGTCATTCTAATAATGTGTGTATATAGATATAATGTGTAAAAAATAACAAGTGACAGTAAACCAAGCTAAACATCTTGTACTTATATATTAAATGAATACATATATGGTTACAAGCTGGTTTATCTTTAGAAATACCATAATTTGGGAAGACAACATGACTAAGTAGAGACATATATAGTGGAATGTTCAGGTAATTCTCTGGATAACAGTATTTCCTACAGTTTTTGAGAGAAAATTTAGAAGTGTATATTTTTAAAGAAAACTATCCAACCTTTGCGTTGGATTGACACGTAACCCAAATAAAACACATCTGTAGGCCTGAAAGGTGGCTTCAAAAGGCTGTATTCTTGTCTTTAAGAAAACAGCATCAAATCATACTGGCTCACCGGATGCTATGGGTGACAACTAACATGAGACAACGTTCCTGAGGTCATCTGCAGTTTCCCGTCAAAGGCTGGGGCTGTTATATAAGCATTTATTTAACATTTATCACTGACGTGGCTGCTGACATACTTTTGGTGTTCTCACAAGTGTTGATCATGCAACCAGGAAGTGATGCATCTAATCGTAAAAATACTTTGGACCGTAAACAGGAGCCGGATGGTCAACTGAGGAACTCTGAATAATGCAGAGGGAATTTCTATAGACCGGAGGTTTTAAAAACGGAGGGAGCACCAGTTAAAGGAAGCACAGAGGAAGAGGAGTGAAGCATGAGTCGCAATTTGCATAAATGTTCATCCTTCTTCCCTGTCAGAATCACACTTAGTCAAATCTGAGCAACTGACACAATCATTTTAGGATCCAGTATGGACTTGACTTTCGGTGGAAATGACCTCTTATGTCAAATAAATTTCCAAGAAGAAGAAAAAAAAAATCACAGTAAAAAGATCAGCGTCATAAATTTTTTCTTCAGCATCAACATGACCCACTGACACTGATGTATATTCAGTAGTACACTGCAAACAGCAGTAACACCATTATTATTTATTTTCATTTATTTAATTGAGTTTAATGGTGACAATTTGTCAAACCCTAAGCAAATACAGGGCTAAAGAAAACAGGAGTCAAGTTATAACCCACACTAACACCATGGCAACACTACTGCTCTGTTTACATTCCCTAAAGCCCCTAAATATGGAAACTGTTCTAACGCTTAGAGCATGATTATGCTTGGTAATACTACTGCCAGTCACTACTTCTTTACAAAACCCAGCTTTGGGCTCTGACATTATGCTTGTTCGCTCTTATCTAAAAAAGAAAATTCTGTTCACCCTTCAAGACCCACAGCGGGTAACTTTAAATAAAATACTGGACCAGAGTATCACTCATATGTCTGTGCAGGTGCACGCTGTAGGATTTGATTGATACATGGAAAGTTGTATTTGTATCTCTGACCGACTGCTGTAGGTATCGGTCACCTCCGCTGCTATGAAGATGCTGATGAGTTTACAACCTGTCTACATGAATGTGCTCACTGTGGAAGAGCTGCTGCAGCTGATCTGGGGGCCGACCTGTCTTCCCCGCATTCCTACCGCTGCAGCCTCTCCTCTTTCCCCCGGTGTCAGCCTCTGCACAGCCCTTATCAGGCCATGGAGATGCTGTCACCCTCTCTGTAAGTGTCAACTGGACCACTGTGCCTGCAGTGAAAGGTCCATACACTTTTTTGACTCGCGACGTACGATCTAAAAATCGTACAAATCTGTCAACACCTTCAAAACTATTTATAAGCGTGACTTACAGACACTGACAGCAACTACTGTAGATCACAATTCAAAGGGAAGCTTCACATACACGACATAAATCACAGTTCCAGCTGATGGAAAGTGGTTTAACAATCCTTATAAAAGCATCCTTATAAAATCAGATTTCCAAATCTAAGGTCACCTACAGAAAGACACAGAGACCAGATAGGTACAGAAAAGAGGGTCAAGACCAAAAAACAGGAAAATGAAGGAGCTGATGAGCAAAATGAGTGTAAAAAATATAAGATTAGTAAAAAGATAAAATACATTTTAACTGATTTACGGCAAGGCCAATGTAGGGTTTTATATGTTTCTTTACATACCATTTATTCTATTGATTATCCATCATATTTATTAATGTATTCAATTATATTTATTACTTTCCTGATACTTTTTTTTAATATATATATAATACTTTGCCAGTTTCAGGGCTCTTTAAGATAGTAACTCCCTGTTGGAGTCACAAACACAGCGAGCACCTTTAAATAGAAAAACCTCAACAATTTGTGGTATTTGCTTGGCAAAACTACAACTCCTCTAACGGTCACCACAAAACTGGTTTTTAATCATGACGGTGTTACCACTGCACATTACTTTGTCTTATTTAGATATAGTATATAATTTCTTATTTATACAAGATATGCATTCTTTTGGCAGTATGATGGATTTGATGGATTAGATTTATAAAATGGCAGCTCAGTGCCTGTAGTAGATCTATCTGGGTCACAGCTCCAAGTTGTGCCCAAAGGCGTTACAGGTGGGCACCTTGGCAGCTTCTCAGAGATTCTTTAACATGCCAACAGTTCCAAGGAAATTATAAAAGGTGTTCAAACATGTCATTGTGACTGTCTGTTTTCTCCCCCCACAAAGTTAAAGAAAATTATCTTTTCTAAAAATAGGAAATGATCAAATTAAATATCAAATCAAAGAGTGAACGCCAGTTTTCACACTGTGTATTTATTTCTATTTTGTTACTAAAGAATAAAAACAGTCCTGTTTATCATGACAAAATAGGGATCTACTTAAGTTAGAAATCGAAACTGTTGGTCTGACGTTGACAGATCTTGCCTTCAAAGGAGGGCCACGGTCCAATTAAGATTCCTGAATGGTGGTCGTGTGTGAGAACTTTAGCACGTCAGATTTTCTGTTGGACACCTGATGTTGGGGGCCTCATATCCAGACTCCGTTTTAGTGGCCTGAGGTGTGACTTTAGCACCGTTGCTGACACCCGCTGAGTCTGGATAAACACAAATGAGTGACTTCTTGGGGAGAGCCAAAGTTCAACCCACCACACATGGAGGGAACTCGACATTAGGGAAATGGAATTTACGTTTGGTTTCTGTTGTTGAGCAGATGTGACACATGTACTAAAATAAAACCCAGATTAGGTATAATAAAGAGAGGAGATTTGTGTTACATAATGCTTGATAAGCACACACGGAAAAAACATATTAAATAATAAAATTATGACTTTGAGTAACTACATGACCTATTGATGGGAAACCACTTATCTAGAAGCTGTGAACCTCGCCATGTGAAAGATAGTGGGAAATATGAATCGACTGTTTGTCTTTCTTGATGTAATGTTTCTTTTGGCAAAGCACCCGGTATTTCCTCTTTCCACTCAGCAATGTGACACAACGTGTAGGAGTAAGACATTCTGTAGTCAATTCAAAATACTCACAAAGTGGCTGCTACGAAAACTAAGTGCTATAGCCACACATGTCCTGTAATTGTTACCTAAAACAAGCGAGCTAGGTCACATACCAGGGGTTTTCCTGGCTTAAAACACACATTTATGGGATGACTACACACAGCAAAAAAACATGATCAGTCTACATACAGTAAAGGCAATAAGTCTGTGTCACCTTATTTGATAAATCTATGCATTTTCCGGTTAATTTAACTATTTGATAAACTAAAATCTCTAATATGCTGGAGTAAAAGAACCTCATTTAAGAAAATTG